ACTTCGAGCGGATGAACACGCTAGCGCTCGGCCCCCGCGCCGGGTTCGCCTACCAGCTCACGGAAGACGGCCGGAACATTCTGCGCGGCAACCTCGGTCGGGTGCACGAGCAGATGAACGGTCGTGACAACATCACCCGCGTGCACGGCGCCGCCACCGTCGGCAGCTACGTCGAGTATGACCACGACGGAGACGGCGTTGTTGACTACTCCGACTACAGTCCTCCGTCGTCCGGTATTCCGCGCGAGTACCTGTTCGACGACGGCATCGGCCAGCCCTTCGTGGATGAGGCCATCGTCGGCCTGCGCCGCCAGTTCCCGGGTCAGTTCGCGATGGACGTCGCGCTGGTGCACCGCCGCTATACGGACAACTACGCGCTTCTGGAGCAGAACGGCTACTACCCGTCGTCGTCCCCGGCCCCGGTTCCACTGGGCGAGTTCCAGTTCGGCGCGGTTGATCTCGCCCACGGAAACGTCAACCAGCAGACCAACAACAGTTGGAGCAAGCTCGTCTATACCGCCCTCGAAATCACCACGACGCGGCGCACGGAACGGATGTCGGGCACGCTGAACATCAGCCGGCAGTGGCAGGGATACTCGGGCGACTGGAACCCGAACGATCCGGCCCGGTACATACAGCCGGAGAAGTTCAACTCGAGCAAGGCGCTCTACATGCCGCGCGGCAACAATGAGCAGAACACCCTGCGGGACTCCAGCAACCTGTCGTACGCCCCGACCTGGCGGCGGTATTCCGTCCGGGGCGGGATGAGCTACCTGCTGCCTTACGACATCACGGCGGCGTTGAGCTACACCGCGAACGCCGGCCCGTGGTCCGGCCCGCCAATCAACCGGCTGAGCGCCGACGACCCGCAGGTCACCCAGTACGGCGCGGGCACGGCCAACAACGGCAAGACGAATCCTCTCTCGACCCGCTACCGCATCGTCGGCGCGGACCGGGGCGAACTCCAGGTGGCGGCGCCGACAGTGCATACCGTGGGCCTCTCGCTCGGCAAGATCCTCGATCTCGGCCCGGCCCAGCTTGAGGTGCAGGCCCAGATCTTCAACCTGCTGGACGCGGCAGACCACAACCAGTTCACCTACAGCGGCGCGAACCGGACGTGGAAGGCCGCCTTCCTGGAGCTTCGGAGCCGGCAGAACGCCCGGACCATGCTCCTCCGGGGAACCCTCCGCTTCTAAGCGAACCCTCAAGCACCTTCAAGGCGCCGGCCCTCGCGGGCCGGCGCCTTTTTTATTTCTGCTGACTCAGAGGGCTGTCTGCAGACGTGGAACCCCGATCGGGTAAGGCTGATCAGGGAACGCCGACCTTTGGGCAGTTCCTGTGAAAATGCAGCCCGGCGCGGGAACCTCAACCGTCCAGATGGTGTCGGCCGCCAAGGAACTGCACTTTCATGATGGGCGGGGCGTGCAGGCGAACCCGATCATGAGGGTTGCCCGGTCGGTGTTCCCCTCCCGGCGGCGTCATCCAGACCGAGAAGGAAAGTCCCCCGCCCAAGCCGCTCTTGTAGCGACTGGCCCGGCCCGGGGCCGGCACCGCCCGACCGAGCGGCCGATGGGCGACCAAACTGTCCGCCTTCGCCGCGCCTCGGTCGCGCCGACGCGAGCGCTCCCCCGGATGAGCTCGGAAGGCCTACGGCCGTGAAGACCAGCCGACGTCCACGTTGAAAAGCAGGAACCGCGGACGAATCCTCGTGTTCACGGTCAGCGTTTGGTCAGACTGAACAGACGGGATGTCGGCGTAGGCGATGTTGAGATCCCAACTTTCTTCGATACCTCGGGATTTGCCGATGAACCCATCCAGCCGGGGACGCACGACGAAACGTCCAAACCTCAACGTGACCCCCACGGAACCGGCGAATGCCACGAAGCCGCCATCCGCGCGCAGGTCACCACCGGTAACCCGGACGGTGAGATCGACGGGCTCGCCGTTCCGATAACCAGTTCGGGAAAGGCCGGGGGGCAGGCCGTCAAACACGAGCCGGTCGGATTTCCCGCCCGTCGAGACGTAGCCGGCGCCTGCCGCGATGAAGTACCCGCCGTCCTGATCACGGAACGGGATCTCGGCAACGCCAAGAACGCTGAGGACATTCGCCGAGGCATCCGGAAGCGCCAGGTCCCGTGCCCCCGTCCAGGGTGTTTGGCGGACCTGCGCCGCGGGTGTGAGGCCCTGGCTTCCCATCCGGTGATACTGGAATTCGAACCCCCATCGCCCACGCAACGCCCGCATACCGGCCCCCCAGTTCATCTCGCGCACCTGACCCAAGGTCTCGTAAGCTGGGGTCACAGCATCACCGAACGTGCTCTGCACCTCTCCCCGAGATGCAAGCCCGGCGAAACCGCCATGGCCGGAAACCTGGAACTCCCAACTCGCGTCGTGGTCGTCTGGCGCTGGGGCCTGACCTTCCGCATGCGTGTCGGTTGCGGATCGGAGGCGGTCGGACTCCTTCCGCTCGGACAACAGGCGGGGCAAAGACCACCGCAAGAAGAACACTCAGAATCTCAAGTCGAAACACCGGTCTGCCTCCTCAACGCGCCGCCGCCGATCACCCTACGGGCGGAAGGACCAGCCGACATCCACGGTGAACAGCAGCAATCGCGGCCTTGCCATGGTGGTCACCGTCATCGTGCCGGTGGCTTGGTGCTCCTGGAAGGCAAAGGCCATCTGCAACTCCTCGGTGGACTGTGGCCCTCCCCCGGCAAACACATCGAGACGCGGCCGCACCAGCAGCGGGCCGAGATCGAGCGTCACGCCCACCGACGCACCGAAGACCACGGCGCCGCGATCCATCTGGAAATCACCACTTCTCATCGTGAATGAGCCTGGCGGATCTCCCAAGGTACCGGCCATGGTTGCTCCCACGTGGAGGATTTGGGTCACCTCGAAAATCTGGAGCGAGTCATCGTTTCCCATCAGGAAGTAACCGGCTCCGGCGCCGATGAAGAGCCGCCGCCGGTCGTCACCGAGCGGAAACTCCCGGAGGGCCATGGCACTGAACACGTCGCCGGTCGGAGGACGGAACCGGCGACGTTGCAGCATCAAAGAAGTCCGTTTCGCGCAGGACCCCGGCGGGCGTGAACATTCGCGGCCAGGCGGTGGTGTGTACCTCGAAACCCAGCGCCCCGCGTAGCGCCCGGACTCCCGCACCCCAGGTGGTCTCGCGGCCGAACCCAGCGTGGTCTCCGCCGGAATCGCGGTGTCCATGAAGGTTCCGTCGGAGTCTCCGCGGAATCCAGCGCGCGAACTCCCCATGAGACGGACACCCGCGAGGGCACCCCGGACAAAGACCTGTATCTCCCACGACGCACTCGGCTCGTCGGGGGCGGACGTTTGGGGGCTGGGCCGGGGGCGCCTTTGAACCGGGACGCTTCGTGGCGTCGTATCCGGCGGCAGAGAGAGGAGACAGCGCGACCATTGCCGCGATCACAAACAACGAACGATGAAACAAAACGGTCATGACTCATCAGAAGGATCGCTCGGTCTGTCCCCTACCGCAACCCTCGGCTGGACGGGTCGTGTTCCGGCATGAATCCCGCTCGCGGGAAGCCTCACCGCAGCCCGGATCGCGCGTCCGCATCCCTGCGCTCCGGGCGCCGATACGGCTCTGAAGACGGCCTTACTCGCAGAAACGCTCATGATCGGTCCGCCTGCACGTCCCGCTGGGCATGGAAATGGCGCGGCACTCACGTTGGCCCTGGCGCCGCGTCATCGGCGCTGGTTTCGCGCTCCCGCGCGATGCCGGCCGGAGGCCGGCGTTCCAAGCCGTCCCCGCCATTGCGCTATCGGCTATACGCGCTCTCAGACCCATTCGGCGTCCGGTCGCAACTGCATTTCACAGCAACCGGCCGGCGGTCCCCTGGCCGTCCCCGCGGATCAGTTCCCGAGGCCGATGTCCAGCGAAAAGAGGTAAATGGTCGGCCTCACGCTCGTGCCGTAGTGGAGCCCGATCTCACCCAACTCCTCCGGTCCCAACTCGCCGAGGTCCGGGAACCCAATCGTCAGGTCGGTGGTCAGGGCTCGGGACACCACCACATCAACCCGGGGACGAAGCATGATTCGGCCGAAACGGAATGCGACTCCCAGCGAGCCGGCATAGACCACGGATGTCCGATCCGCTTCGAAGGAGACTTCCGGAATAAAGGACGGTGGAATCTCGGCAGGGATTTGATCGAGCCCCTCCAAACCCGCACCGGAAAGCAGCATATCCGTTCCCGAATCGGTCGCCTGGAGCCACCCTGCGCCGATCCCCAGGGACAGCTCCGCGCCGCCCCCAAGCTGAAAGACCCGAATGGCCTGCCCGAGGACCAGTCTGGCCTGGGATGGCACCAGCGGCTGGCCAAACAGTGCGGCTTCTTCCGCTGTCGCTCCGTTCGAATCCGCGACGAGCCAGGACGGAGTGAGATCCAGACTCTCGAAGATGTTGTAGCTCCCCTCGATTCCCCAGTTCCCCGACATGAGGCGAGCTCCCACGCCCCAGCCGAATTCCGAGGTGAGCCTGGATGCCGAAATGGAGTCTCCGCCGCCCTCCGCGCCGGGAGGAGGGACACCCATCAATTGGATCGAGTCCTCCGCCGAAACGTTCAGCAGCGGCAGACCCACGCGGCCGAACAGTTCGATCCGCATCCCCGACGATCCGGAGTAGCTCTGCGCGGGAGCCACGGAGAACCCCAGCGCGCCCTGCAGTCCGGTCGTCGCGTCCGTCGCCAGGGAATCGGAAAGTTGCTTCCTGATGTCCTCCTTCGCCTCTTCTGCGTCGGCCAGCGTGCCGTTCTTCGCACGAGCGTCATCACCCTGCCCTACGGCGGCGAACAGCAGCATGAGAACCGCCGTCAAGGCTGATCGGGTCTTTCCAATCGTCATGCGCCCACTGTAACGCGCCGCTCCGCTGGTACGACAGGACGGGAATGCCGCCGCCGCCGGGTACACTCGAAACCCGCTCCGAGACCCCACCCGCCGACCGAGGAGGCCCCCCGATGCGAGTTCTAATGCGAGTTGCCCGGGTGCTGAACCTGGTCCTGCTTTCCGTGTTTTCCCTGCCGGTGCTGTCTGCCGCACAGGACGGGGACGCCGCCGCCGTCGTCTCCCGGTTCCTGAACGCCCAGCGCACCGACTTCGAGGAGGTGGCGCTTCGCATCTGGGACTGGGCCGAAGTGGGCTACCAGGAAGAGCAGAGTTCAACGCTCCTCCAGGAGCAGCTCACCGCCGGCGGTTTCTCGGTGGACGCCGGAGTGGCCGGGATGCCGACCGGGTTCGTCGCCGAGTGGGGATCGGGAAGCCCGGTGATCGGCATCCTGGCCGAGTTCGACGCCCTGCCGGGGGTGAGCCAGGCGGCCGTCCCCGAACCCATGGAGCGCGAAGGCGTGGGCGCCGGACATGCCTGCGGTCACCACCTGTTCGGGACCGCCTCGGTGGCCGCGGGACTCGCAATCCGGGACTGGCTCGAACGGTCGGGAACGCCCGGAAGGATCCGCGTTTACGGCACCCCCGCCGAAGAGGGCGGCGCCGGCAAGGTGTACATGGTCCGGGAGGGTCTTTTTGCCGACGTGGACGCGGTGCTTGCCTGGCATCCCGGGGACCGCAACGACGCGAGCCCCGGGGATTCGCTCGCCAACCTGTCGGCCAAGTTCCGCTTCCGGGGCGTCTCCGCCCATGCGGCGGGAGCCCCGGACCAGGGTCGCTCGGCGCTCGACGCGGTGGAGGCCATGAACTTCATGGTGAACATGATGCGCGAGCACGTCCATGAGCGCAGCCGGATCCACTACGTCATCACCCGGGGGGGCGAGGCCCCGAATGTGGTCCCCAACTTCGCCGAGGTCTATTACTACAACCGGCATCCCTCGGTGGAAACGGCCCGCGCCAACTGGGAGCGGATTCTGAAGACCGCCGACGCGGCGGCGCTCGGCACCGGGACCCGAGTCGAGCACGAGATGATCCACGGGATCTACAACATCCTTCCGAACGAGCACCTCGGGCGGCTCCTCTTCGAGAACATGAAGGCGATCGGAGGCTTCGCCTACACCGACGAGGAGCGGGCCTTCGCCGAGGAAATCCAGAAGCACCTGCAACAGCCGCGTCCCATCGGGTCCCAGGAGGAAGTCATGGATTGGGCGAGGACCCCGGCGGGCGGCTCCACCGACGTGGCCGACGTGAGTTGGGTGGTTCCGACCGCGCAGTTCCGAACCGCAACCTGGGTGCCCGGGACCCCCGCGCACAGTTGGCAGGCGGTCGCCTGCGGCGGCACGAGCATTGGGCTGAAGGGAATGCATCTGGCTGCACAGGTGCTCGCACGCACGGGCGCCAACCTCTTCGAGGATCCGTCCTACCTGACCGCGGCGCTCGCCGAGTTGAACGCCGCGCGGGGACCGGATTTCGTGTACGAGCCGCTGCTGGGCGACCGGCCGCCGCCGCTCGATTACCGGCGCTGACCAACGGCGACCGGGAGGTCAGCTTTCCTTGGCCGGTGGCGTCATCACCCCGAACAACACCGTGAGTTTCGCCCCGCTGCGCGGGGCGATGCCGGTCTGAAGACCGGCGCTCCTGGCCCGTTGTTCCCGGGTGCCATACACTCGCGTTTTCCGCGGAGGACCCTGTCCATGGTCAACAGAACAAAAAAGTCCCGGTTTCTTGCCGTTGTCGTCGCCGGCGCGCTGACCGCCGGACTCGCGGCCGAGACCGTCGCGCAGGATCGTCTCACCATGGCTCTAACGGGTGATTCGATCATCACCCGCAAGCTGAGCGTCTACGAGGAGCCGGAGTTCCTGCGGATGATCGACCTCCTGCGCGGCGCCGACCTGGCGTTCACCAACCTGGAGATCCTCTTCCACGACTGGGAGTCCTACCCGATGAGTTCGAGCGGCGGCACCTACATGCGGGCCCAGCCGGAACTCGTGCAGGAGTTCGTGTGGGCCGGGATTGATATGGGATCGCTGGCTAACAACCACTCCGGGGACTACGGCCCACCGGCCATGCTACTCACCGAGAAGTACGTCCGGGAGGCCGGCATGGTCGCCGCAGGAGTCGGGCGCAGCCTGGCCGAGGCCCGCGAGGCCAAGTTCATCGAGACCAAGGACGGCCGGGTGGCGCTGATTTCGCTCGCCTCGACCTTCCCCAACCACTCGATGGCGGGCAAGTCGCGTGACGACATCCCGCCACGGCCGGGATTGAATCCGCTACGCCACATCCGGACCTACGAGGTCACGAAGGACCAGCTCGAGGGCGTCCGCGCCACCATGCGCGACCTCAAGATGAACCCGCCCGCGGAGGGAACGAGCCTGAACTTCCTGCGCAACCGGTTCGAACTCGCGGATGCGCCCGGGGTCCGGACCGAGCCGCACCCCGAGGACATGGCGGAGATCGCCATGATCGTCAGCAACGCGAGGCGCCAGGCCGACCACGTGATGGTGACGATCCACGCCCACGAGGGTCGCGCCGGGCCCCGACAGCCGCATGGTTCCCGCCCAGTTCCTCGAGACCTTCGCCAGGGCGATGGTGGACGCCGGAGCCTCCATCTTCGTGGGGCACGGACCCCACGCGCTACGCGCCATCGAGATGTACAAGGGGGTGCCGATCCTCTACAGCCTCGGGGACTTCGTTTTCCAGAACGAGACCCTCCAGCGGCTGCCGTACGAGAACTACCACGGGGTCGGACTGAACGAGAGCGACGGCCTCGCCGACTTCAACGAGGCCCGCTACAACAACGACACCACCGGGTTCCCCACCATCCCCGAGATCTGGGAGGCGGTCATCGCGGTGCCCGAGTGGAGCGGACAGCAACTGGTCGAGTTGACGCTCCACCCGATCAGCCTCGGATACGGACAGCCGCGCCATGTCCGCGGCCGGCCGATGATGGCGGAGGGCCCCCTCGCCGACAAGATCCTCCAGGATCTGGTACGTCTCTCGGAACCCTACGGGACGCAGTTCGAGATCCGCGACGGCGTCGCCCGGGTGGTACTGCCACCGGAGACAACCGACGAACAGCAGTAGCTACGGGACGGCTGAGTCCGGGCGCGGCCGGATGAAGCGCTCGCTTCCGCCGGCCGTCTGCTTCCTGGTCTCCCTGACGCCGGGAATCGCTTTTGGGACAGCTCTACCCGAACCGGCCGCCACCTCTCCGGGGGCGAGCGGCCCAGTCCGGCAGAGTGAAGAACAGTCCGGCAGAGTGAAGAAACGGTCCGGCAGAGCGAAGAAACGCTCCGGATCGACCTCCACTCCCATCCCTCCCGCTTCCACCGCGCCAACGTGCCGCGGATCAGCGACGAGGAAATCGCCCGCTACCTCTGGACCGGGGCATGGACGCGGTGGTGGCCACCATCAGCACCGACACCCCCGTACCGGGCGGCTATGTGCTGCGGGACGGGACCCGGATCGAAAGCGGAAACCGCCGCCCGGATCCCGCGGAACCCTGGGAATACACCCTCGACCGCTTCGAACGGTTGACGCGCACGGCGGCGGAGGGCCGCGCGGTCTTCGTCCGAACCCCGGCCGAGGCCCGAAAGGCGCGCGCCGAGGGAGTGCTCGGCATTCTTCCGGCGCTCGAAGGGGCGGACTCGCTCGAGGGAAACGATCGGGCGGCTCCACCAGCTCCACGAGATGGGGCTCGCCCTGGTGCAGCTCGTGCATTTCCGGCCGAACGGGCTGGGCCACATCCAGACCTGGCCCTACACCCCCGGCGGGCTTACCGAGTTCGGGCGCGAGGTGGTTCGCGAGTGCAATCGGCTCGGCATCGTCATTGACCTCGCCCATGCAAATCCCGAAACCATCCGGGACACTCTGGAGCTGTCCCGGGTTCCGGTCGTTTTCAGCCATACCGGAGCGTTTGCCCTCGGCGAGGCCGACCGCAACCTGCGCGATCCCGAAATCCGTGCGATCGCCGCGGCGGGAGGCGTGATCGGGATCTGGCCGAACGGGAGTCGCCTCCCGACCGTCGCCGACATGGCCCGCCACCTCCGCCACGTCACGGACCTCGGCGGGATGGGCGCAGCGGGAATCGGGAGCGATCTGCGGGGGATGTCCGCCTACAGCGAAGGATTCGGTGAGGAAGCCAACTTCGAAGCGATTGCCGAGGCGCTCGCCGAGGCCGGTTTCGACAGTGATGAAGTCGAGGGGATCCTCGGCGCCAACTTCGAGCGGGTGTGGGAGGAAGTCACCGCCCACCTGACCGCCGATGATCCATAGGGAGCAAGAGCGATGAATTCCTCGAATTTCCGGACGTTTCCGGCTGTTCTGTCAGCCGATGGTGAAACCCTGAAGGCATCCACTCGCGGCGCGCAGCGCCGCGGGGGTGGGGGGTGGGGAGGGGTTTCCCCTCTCCCGGGCTGCTGCTCCTCGCGCTGCTTGCCGGCTGCGCCGGATCCGAACCGCCGCCGACGCTCGATGAGACGTTCATGGCGATCGTGGCGGAAGCCCGGGACAACGCCGGCAGCCCCGGCCTCTCCGCCGCGGTGGCAGTGAACGGAGAGTTGATCTGGAGCGGCGCGTCGGGACTCGCCGACGTCGAGAAACGGGGTTCCCGCGACCGCGGACAGCGTGTATCGCATCGCTTCCATCTCGAAGCCCGTCGCCGGTACCGCGCTGATGCAGCTTGTGGACCAGGGCGCCATCGACCTCGACGCCGAGATTCAGACCTACTTCCCGACCTTCCCCGAGAAGGAGTTTCCCATCACGGTGCGCCATCTGATGACGCACACCTCGGGCATCCGCCACTACAACCCGGGCGAGATGGACATGAAGGACCATTTCGACACGATCGAGGCCGCCATCGAGATCTTCAAGGACGACCCGCTCCTCTTCGAGCCCGGGACGCAATACAGCTATTCCTCCTACGCCTGGAACATCGTGGCCGGCATCGTCGAGAACGTGTCGGGACAGACCTTCGACGACTACCTGCAGCAAAACGTCTGGGGACCGTCCGGGATGGAGGTCACCTACCTGGAGCACCAGGGTGACATCGTCCCGAACCGGGTGCGCCAGTACGTGAAACGTGAGGACGCCGCCGGCGTTCTGAACGCTCCGTTCGCGGATCTCTCCATCAAGTGGGCCGGCGGCGGAATGATCGCCGCGGCCCCCGATCTCGTCCGCTTCGCGCTCGCGCTCGATGCCGAGACGATCCTCCCGGCCGACATCCACGCCCGGATGACGACGCCGTATCAGCTCGCCGATGGGACCATGAGCGAGTACGCGCTGGGCTGGCGGATCTCCACCGATGAGATGGGCACCTGGATCGCCCACTCGGGAGGAGCTACCGGCGGCTCCACGCGTCTGCTCCGCCTTCCCGAACGGGGAGTGGCAGTCGCCGTGTTCTCGAACGTCCAGAAACGCCGGAGGTCTCGCCGAAACCGCCCGCCGCCTCGCCGACGCGGCGTTGGAACACCCCGGGCAGCCGTAGAAGCAGCGTTCCAGGGCGGGTCCGTACCCAAGAGCAACTTCAGGACACGCGCTCCGGTCTTGCAGCGTTGTAAGGCGGGCTGTGCGGCTGCGCGGACTATGCTCTTGCCGCTCCTCAGGCCCTGAAGGCGTATGACCCCCTACTCCGATACCGAACTTACGGCGCTTATGTCGGACCTGGAGTCTGACCGAGTGGAACGGAAGGAATCCGCAGCCGAAGACCAAAAGATCCGGCAGAATGTCTGTGCTTTCGCCAACGATCTGCCGGGAAGTCAGCGGCCCGGAGTACTGTTTATCGGCGTGCGAGACGACGGATCTTGTGCATCACTGCCGATCACGGACGAACTAATGACCCGCTTGTCCAACATCCACGGAGAAGGCTCGATTCTGCCTCTCCCTTCGATTACGGTCCAACGGCGAACGCTAGGCGACTGTGAAGTCGCTGTCGTGACCGTAGCTCCTTCTGCAGCGACGCCTGTCCGCTACCGCGGGCGTGTCTGGGTGCGGGTGGGCCCTTCAGTTCGACAAGCCTCCGCGGAGGATGAACGTCTGCTTACTGAGCGCCGGCGTGCCGCCGATCTTCCTTTTGACATGAGACCGGCAGGAGGCGCCGATACGGAGGACCTGGATCTTGACTCCTTGCGGCGCGGTTACATGCCGGCCGCCATCTCACCCGATGTCTTGGAAGCAAACACTCGGTCCATGGAACTTCAGCTTCGATCATTGCGCCTAATGCGCCGAGGCCGACCCACTTGGGGTGCGCTCCTAGCGTTCGGACGGGATCCTCAAGCCTGGCTTCCGGGAGCATATGTGCAGTTTCTGCGCATAGCCGGAGGTGATGTCACGGATCCGATACAGGATCAGAAACAGATCACTGGATCACTCGACGATGTGCTTCGGCGCCTCGACGAACTGATCGAACTCAACATTCAGGTGCGCACGCGCGTGGCAGGGGTACAGCGTGAACAGCGACAGCCGGACTACCCCGCGGATGCCCTTCGACAACTCGTGCGGAATGCAATCATGCACCGGAGTTACGAGGCAACCACCACGCCGGTGCGGATTCGCTGGTATGCAGACCGGGTTGAAATCGTTAGCCCCGGCGGGCTCTACGGTCGCATGACGCCCGAAAACTTCGGTAGCGGAGACACGGACTATCGCAATCCTCTTGTCGCGGAAATCATGCACAACCTTGGTTTCGCCCAGCGTTTCGGTCTCGGCCTGCGCTTGGCGCGGGAAGGTCTGGCCCAGAACGGGAATCCGCAGCCCGAATTTGAGTTTCAGTCTTCGCTTGTCGCTGCCACCGTGAGAAAGGCGTCATGAAGAGCATCGCCGTCTTCAACAACAAGGGTGGCGTCGGGAAGACTTCTCTCGTCTACCACTTGGCGTGGATGTACGCGGAACTCCAAAAGAACGTTCTGGTCGCCGATCTCGACCCACAGGCGAACCTCACCAGCATGTTCTTGGAAGATGATGCAGTCGAAAGGCTCTGGAAGGGAAACGGAGGAAGCACAATCTATTCGGCCCTACAGCCTTTGTTGGAAGGGCTCGGCGACGTAACGACTCCTTCGGTGATCCGGCCAGCGCCGGGGATTGGCTTGGTCGCGGGCGACATGCAACTGTCCGGGGCAGAGGACGAACTGTCGAGTCAATGGCCAGACTGTATGGACGGGAAGCCACGTGCCTTTCGGGTCCTGTCAGCGCTTTCCCGAGCCATACGCGGCGCCGCCGAACAAGTTGCAGCGGACCTGATTCTGGTGGATGTCGGCCCTAACCTCGGCGCGCTGAATCGAGCGGCGTTGATCGCCGCAGATTGCGTAGTCGTACCGCTTGCGCCGGACCTGTACTCCATCCAGGGGCTGCGGAATCTGGGCCCGACGCTGCGCCGCTGGAGACAGCAATGGGCCACTCGTAGGCAGCATAACGAGGTGCCGGATTTGGACTTGCCGAGTGGGGAAATGCAGCCTATCGGCTATGTGGTTCTTCAACACGCCGTGAGGCTGGATCGTCCGGTCAAGGCTTACGAGCGGTGGATGGACCGTATCCCGAGGGCCTACCGGGAGTTGGTGTTGGAAGAGCCCACCCAGCGCGCACCGTCGGTGGCTGATGACGTCAACTGTCTCGGCACTTTGAAGCACTTCAGGAGCCTCATGCCCCTTGCCCAGGAAGCGCGCAAGCCTATGTTCCTCCTCAAGGCCGCCGATGGCGCGCTCGGCGGCCACACGTACGCCGTCCAGGGTTGCTACCGTGATTTTCGAGCTCTCGCAAGGAGAGTGGGGCAGGCGGGAGAGCAGTCGGTGGCGAGCAGCGAGATCTGAGGTAGGGGATCCTCGTCGTCTCGCCGGGTGGCGTGGGCGCGACGCCGCTGGGATCAGCGGGTTGTTGGGCCGCCGAAGAGGCTGGGCGGCGAGTTGCCCCCGGAGCGGCCCGTTCCGCTCTCAGCTCGCGCCTCGAGCGGCTCGATACAACGCGGGTCGTCGTGCGCGGGATTGTTCACCAGGGAACTGACCCGGAAGGCCGCCATCGCGGCGGACGGATAGGGCCCGAGAGGCACCTCGCCGCCTGTGAGCCACCGATCAAAGGTGTCGGGGTGCAGGATGACGGGCATCCGATCGTGGATTGGGCCCACGACCTCGTTCGCGTCCGTCGTGAGGATGGTGAAGGTCTCCAGAAGTTCCGGCCGACCGATCCCGGACGTTTGGCCGGCGAGGATTCCCGGCGGCGCGCGCCACCGCTCGAAGAGACCGGCGAGCGCGAACGCGCCGCCTTCGCGCATGCGGAAGAGCCAGGGCTGCCGGCGCCGCCCGAGACGCTCCCACTCGAAGAAACCGTCCACCGGGACGAGGCACCTCCTCTCGCGGAACGCGTCCCGGAAGGACGGCCGAACACCGGCCGTCTCGGCGCGGGCGTTGATGAGCCGATTCCCGATCGACGGATCCCGGGCTCCGCTCGGGATCAGCCCCCAGCGGAGCATCCGGAGGCGGCGGACGCCCTCGTTCCGCACCACCGCCGCAAGCTGGGTCGGCGCCACGTTGTAACGGGGGGGCAGATCCTCCGGGATTTCCTCAAGGTCGAAGAGTTCGGCGGTCTCCTCCCAGGACGAGGACTGGGTAAAGCGCCCGCACATCGCTCAGACGACCCCCGCTCCGCGGCCTCCTGGACTATGGACTCTCCTCGTCGGTGGTGGCCGCCTTTTTCTTCTCGTCCTCGCCGGGGGCCGTCTCCCACTCGTACTCCATCCCGCGGACGTGTTGTTCGAACCAGTCGATCTCCACGTTCACCTTGAAGAGTTGGTGGCGGAGTTCCCGCAGGCCGTGCGGCTCGCGCGGCGCGACGTACAGGTGAGTGTCCACCCCGTTCGTCCGGAGCGCCCGGTAGAGCTCCACCGACTGCGGCATCGGCACGCGCACGTCGTTCTCTCCGACGATCACCAGGGTGGGCGTCGTAACCTTGTAGATGTCCTTGAGCGGCGAGTTCCCCCAATAGGCGTCGATCGGAGCGTCCTCCTCCCACGGCGTGCCGCCGAACCAGGGCGTCCGGGGGTGGCGCACATCGCTCTGTCCGTACATCGAGATCCAGTTCACCGCTCCGGCACCCGAGGATGCAGCCTTGAAGCGACCGGTGTGGGTGATGATCTTGTTCGTCATGTGCCCGCCGGCGCTCCAACCCATTTTGGCCATCCGGTCGCCGTCGGCGATTCCGCGCTCGATCAGGTAGTCCACACCCGGCCATGACGTCGAGGTGCGCCTGGTTGAAGTAGTGCCCCACCATGTCCCGGAGGAAGTCGTCGCCGTAGCCGGTGCTGCCCCGGTAGTTGGGCTTGAAGACCGCGTAGCCGCGGGAGGTGAGAACCTGGACGTAGTTGCTCCAGCGGCCGAACGAGAACTTGTCGGACGATCTCGGGCCGCCATGAGTCTGGACCACGAGCGGATACCGCTGTCCCTGCTGATAGTCGAGCGGATAGAAGAGGAGCCCCTCCGCCTCGACTCCGTCCTCGCCCTTCCAGCGGACCGCTTCCTGGACGGGCAACTCGAACGTCTCGTCCAGGTAGTCGAAGACGCTCGTGACCTTCACCGGGTCGCCTCCCGCGGCGGGGAGCAGATGGATGTCCCCGTTGTTCTCGCGGTTGCTGATCCCGAAGACGTGCTGACCGGCGGCGGCCGCAAAGTTCCATCCCGAGAGCGAGTGGTCACCGTCGGTGAGAGCCCGCGGCGCGTTGTCATCCACCGCGGCGTGGAAGAGCTGGCTGCGCACGCCGGTGTTGCCGATGAAGTAGATCGAACCGTCCGGGGCCCAGGTGGCTCCGTTCGCCTCGTGCAGCCAGTCCTCGTACAGGACCCGGTGCGGGCCGCCGGCCGCCGGAATCAGGAAGACGTTCCGGTTGAAGTAGGTCTCGAAGTCGGCGCTGGACCCCGACACGAAGAGGACCTGGGAACCGTCGGGGGAAAGCTGGGCGCCGCTCTCGGTCACCGTGTTGTCGGTCAACTGCAGGGCGTTTCCGCCACCTGTGTCCATGACCCAGACCTCGCCCTCGTCGCGGTTGTCGAGAAGCGGGGTCGGCGCCCGCGAATGGGCGATCCGCGACCCGTCATCGGAGAGCCGGAATTGCAACACCGAGAAGTCGCCCGAGGTGATTCGTTCCGCATCCCGGGGGCCTTCCCCGGAAGTGGGAACGCGGAACAGGTGCCGCTGTTTATAGTCCTCGTCGAAGGCGAACACGTCGTCCCGGAGGTCGTCCTTCTCCTTTTCCTCGGGCGTCTTGGGGTCGGGAGCGATGAAGTAGATGTGCTCGCCGTCCGGTGAGAAGGCGTACGACTGCACCGAGCTTTCGTGCTCGGTGAGCGGTGTCGCTTCTCCTCCGCGGTTGGACATCCGGTGGATCTGCGTGAATGGACTCTCCCCCCGCCGGGCCAGGAAGACGATCGAGGCTCGTCAGGCGACCAGCGAGGGCTTGATTCGCCGTGCTCGCCGTTCGTGAGCTGGATGCCCCCACTGCCGTCAGCCCCCACCCGGTGGATGTGGGTGGTCCGGCCGTTCTTCTTCCAATCGGTGTCCGAGCGGGTGTAGAGAAGTTCGGTCCCGTCGGGGGACAGGCGCGGACTGCCCACCTGCGGGAGATCGATCAAGTCGACGATCGTCATCGGCCGCTTTCCCTGAGCCGATGCGTCGGGTAGCGCGGCGGGCATCGCCGCCAACCCGGCAGCGAGAATGCACAAACGAAGCGAATGGGAATAAGTCATGAAGGTTCTCCTGCGGCAAGCGCTCGCTGGGCTACGGGTTTTCGCCGTCCGTGGTGGCGGGCGTCTCCGGCTCGTCGTCATCACCGGCGCAGGTTTCGCGCTCCCGCGCGTGCCGGCCCCCACCGGGAGAAACGCCCATGATCGGGTCCGCCCGTTCACCCCACCGGCCTGAAAAGGTGGTGCAGCACTCACGTCGGCGGGGCGCGACGTCATAGGAGCAGGTTTCGCGCTCCCGCGCGTGCCGACCGGAGGTCGGCGTTCCCTTGCGGCCGGCGCCATCTGGACTGTTGGGGCTCCAGCGCGGGGCTGGATTTTCACAGCAACGGGCCGGGATGGATCGCCGGCCGAGCCCCCACCGGGAGAACCGGGCCGCGTGGGTTTCGTCACCGGCTGCTAGGGGTTCTCGCCGTCCGTGGTGGTCATCTCCTCTTCGTCGTCGCCGGGGGCCGTCTCCCACTCGTACTCGATGCCTCGCACGTGACGCTCGAACCAGTCGAGCTCGACGTTCACCTTGAAGAGCTCGTGGCGGAGCTCCTGCCAGCCATGCGGCTCCCGCGGCGCGATGTAGAGGTGCGTGTCCACTCCGTTCGTCCTGAGCGCCCGATAGAGCTCCACCGACTGGTTCGGCGGCACCCGGACGTCGTTCTCGCCGACGAGCACGATCGTGGGAGTGGTCACCTTGTAGATGTCCTTCAGCGGCGAATGTCCCCAATAGGTGTCGATCGGCGCGTCCTCCTGCCAGGGGGTACCGCCGAACCACGGGGTCCGGTAGATCCGCACGTCACTCGTCCCGTACATCGAGATCCAGTTCACCGCTCCGGCGCCTGACGCGGCCGCCTTGAAGCGGTCGGTGTGGGTGATGATCTTGTTGGTCATGTGACCGCCGCCGCTCCAGCCCATCTTGGCCATCCGGTCCCCGTCGGCGATCCCGAGCTCGATCAGGTGATCCACCCCGGTCATCACGTCGAGGTGGGACTGGTTGAAGTAATGGCCCACCATGTCCCGGAGGACGTCGTCGCCGTAACCGGTGCTTCCCCGGTAGTTGGGCTTGAAGACCGCCCAACCACGAGCCGTCGCCACCTGGACATAGCTGCTCCAGCGGCCGAACGAGAACTTGTCGGAGGCCGCCGGCCCGCCGTGGGTCTGGACGATCAGCGGATAGCGCTGCCCTTCCTGATAGTCGAGCGGGTAGTAGAGGAGTCCTTCGACTTCCGCCCCGTCCTCGCCCTTCCAGCGGATCGCCTCCTGCACCGGCAGCTCGAAGGTCTCGGCCAGATAGTCGAAGACGCTCGTGACCTTCACCGGATCCCCGCCGTTCGCCGGCAGGAGGTGGAGGTCGCCGTTGTTTTCGCGGTTGCTGATCCCGAAGACGTGCTGTCCGGCTGAGGCCTGGAAGTTCCATCCCGAGAGCGAGTGGTCGCCGGCGGTGAGCGCGGTCGGCGTGCCATCGTCCAGCGTGCCGTGGAACAGCTCGGTCCGCACCCCGGTGTTGGCGGTGAAATAGATCGAGCCGTCGGGCGCCCAGCGGGCGCTGTTGACCTCGTGGGTCATGTCCTCGTAGAGCACCCGGTGCGCTCCCCCGGCAGCCGGCATCACGAAGATGTTGTCGTTGAAGTAGGTCTCGAAATCGGCGCTCGAATCGGAAAGGAACATCACGTGGGCGCCGTCCGGAGAAAGCTGGGCGCCGAACTCGCTCACCGTGTTGTCTGTTAGCTGCGCCGCGTTTCCGCCGTCCGCGTCCATGATCCAGACCTCGCCCTCGTCCCGGTTGTCAACCAGCGGGCTGAGGGACCGGTGGTGGGCGATACGCATGCCGTCGTCCGAGAGCCGGAACCCGATCACCGAATAGTCGCCTTCGGTGATCCGGTCTGCCTTCTGCGGCCCGTCGCCGTCGGCGGCCACCCGGAAGAGATGCTGCTGCTTGTAGTCCTCGTCGAACGCGAACACGTCGTCCGCGAGCTTGTCCTTCTTCTTTTCCTCCGGCGTCTTGGCGTTCGGGGCGGTGAAGTAGATATGCCGGCCGTCGGGCGAGAACTGGAACGACCGCACCGAACTGCCGTGCTCGGTCAGCGGGGACGCCTCGCCGCCGCGGTTGCGCATCATGTGGATCTGCGTTTCGGAATCCTCGCCGCGCTTTGCGAGAAACGCGACCCGCATCCCGTCGGGCGACCAGCGGGGGCTGGACTCCCCTTCCTCACCGTTCGTGAGCTGGACCTCCCCGCTACCGTCGGCGTTGATCCGATGGATGTGGGTCGTGCGGCCGTTCTTCTTCCAGTCGGTACCGGTCCGGGTGTAGAGGATCTGGCTCCCGTCGGAAGACAGGCGGGGGCTCCCCACCGACGGAACGTCGATCAGTTCGACGATCGTCATGGGCCGTTTGTCCTGCGCGGTGACGACGGAAGCCACCAACAGGGCGAGGGAAAGAGCGAAGAGAAAACGAAAACGGAGCATCACAGGCCTCCCGGACAGACCATTGTCCCATTCATTGTCCCCTCGTTTGCGACCCGCCTTCAAACGTCGGGGGGCCGGGAGGCCGCAGGCTAGAATCGCCCCCGAGCAATTAGCCTTCGGATGCGGACTGGAATCACGGGAGCGACGGGCCTGATCGGCCGCGCGCTCGCTTCGGAACTTGCCGAGAGGGGCCACGAAGTGGTGGCGCTCACCCGGCGCGAAGGCGCGCTCACGGGGTTCCCGCCCGGAGTCCGGTCCGCCCGCTGGAACCCTCGCGGTGACGGGGCGAACGCCGACCCGGCCGGTGTGCTGGAAGGGCTCGACGCCCTGGTCCACCTTGCCGGAGAGCCGGTCGGGAAACGCTGGACGACCGCCCGCAAGCGCGCCATTCGCGAGAGCCGGGTGGAAGGCACGAAAGCCCTGGTCGCGGCCCTCGGCGCCGCCCGGAATCGGCCCTCGCGACTGCTCGCCGCCTCCGCCGTCGGCTACTACGGGGCGCGCGGCGACGAAGAGCTTGCCGAAGACGCCGCCTCCGGACACGACTTCCTGGCCGAAGTGTGCCGGGAGTGGGAGGCCGCCGCCGGCGCCGCCCGGGACTGCGGAATCGAGACGGCCTCCCTCCGGATCGGGGTCGTGCTCTCCCCGCAGGGCGGCGCCCTGGCCACCATGCTTCCTCCGTTCCGGCTGGGAGTGGGCGGCCGGCTCGGGAGCGGACGCCAGTGGACGGCGTGGATCCACCTTGCCGACGTGACAGCCGCGATCGCCCACCTCCTCGAGGCGCCTGCCGGGTCTCTCGAATCGACGTACAACCTCACGTCTCCCAACCCGGTCACGAATGCCGCCTTCACCAAGGCGCTGGGGAAGGCCCTCCGGCGACCGACCATCCTTCCGGCTCCGGGACTGGCGATGCGACTCGCCTTCGGAGAGATGGCCGACGCGCTGCTGCTCTCCGGCCAGCGAGCGGTGCCCGGGCGTCTGCTCGCTGCCGGCTTCCAGTTCGGACATCCCTCGATCGGGCCGGCGTTGACCGACCTGGTCGGTTCCTGATTGTCGGTTCCTGATTGTCGGTTCCTGAAATGCCCCGTTCCCCGTCAGCGCTACGCCGTCCGGCGGCGGGCCGCCAGTTCGCCCGCATCGTCGTGGTGGGACTCTTGTTCACCGCAACCGCGATCGCGGGCGCCATGCTCGGGCTGTTGGCTGCGTATCAGAGCGACATCCCCCTGATCGAAGAGCTCGAGGGGTACGAAGCCAGCGCAACCACCATCGTGTATGACGAGAGCGGAGTCGAAATCGGGCAGTTCGCCGTCGAGCGCCGCATCGAGTTGGATTTCGAGGAACTGCCCCAGCACCTTCGGGACGCCCTGGTGGCGTCCGAGGATCAGCGTTTCTGGCGTCACTTCGGTTTCGATCCCATCGGCATCGCGAGGGCGCTGTGGGACAACTCCCGGACCGGCCGCATCGTCTCCGGGGCGAGCACGATCACGCAGCAGGTGGCGCGCGAGCTGTTCCTGAACCGGGAAGAAACGCTCGAGCGAAAGATCAAGGAAGCGATCACGGCCTTCCGGATCGAACGGGCATACCGCAAGGAGGAGATCCTCACCTTCTACGCCAACCAGGTGTTCCTCGGTTACGGAAACCATGGCGTCGAGGCGGCGGCCCAGTTCTATCTGGGCAAGAGCAGTCCGGACCTCTCCGTCGGAGAGGCGGCCATGCTGGTCGGCATCGCTCCCAACCCCGCCCGCTTCAACCCGTTCCGGAGTCTCGAGGCGGCCGAACAGCGGCGGGACATCGTGCTGGAACGAATGGTCGCCGAGGACTTCCTTTCTTCGGACGAGGCGCAGACAGCCCGGGAACAACCCATCCGGCTCCGCTCGCGCGGCAGGGACCGCTTCGCCCCTCACTTCATGGAGATGGTGCGCGGCTATCTGCGGGACCACTACGGAGACTCGAGGACCTACCGGGGGGGACTTCGGGTTTACACGACACTCGACAGCCGAATGCAGCGGGAGGCCAACGAGTCGGTGGAGCTGTCGCTGCGCGCCCACGACAAGCGGCAGGGATTTAGGGGGTTCGCCAGGAACGTCGTCGACGAGGGAGTCGAGCCCACGAATACGAGGACGACTCCTGGAGCGCCCCGCTCGCCAGTGGGATCGGTGGTGCGGGGGGTGGTGACCGCAGCCGGGCCGGAGCCGGAGATCCGGATCGCCGACTACCGGGCGCGGGTGGACGCCGAGTCACTCCTGTGGACCTTCGAGACCGCCGAAGCGCTCTTCCGGGTAGGCGATGTCGGCGATTTCCGCATTCTGGCCAACGAATCCGAACCAGGGGAGGAGGAGACCGGGGAGGAGGAGACCCCCGAAGCGTCCACACAGGGGCGCCTCAACCTGGAAAAGCCCCTCGTAGTCCGGCTCGAACAGGAGCCGCTGGCCGACGGTGCCTTCCTGGCCCTGGACATTGAGACCGGAGCCATCCGGGCCGTGGTCGGCGGGTTTGACTTCGAGCGCAGCGAGTTCAACCGGGCGATCCAGGCGCGCCGGCAGCCAGGGTCGTCGTTCAAACCGTTCGCCTATGGAGCGGCCCTCGCTACCGGGCGGCTCGCTCCCACGTCACTCCTGCTGGACGAGCCCTTCACCTGGATCGATCCGGTGAGCGACGAACCGTACGAACCCCAGAACTACGACGGCCAACACCTCGGCTGGATCACGATGCGGAAGGCCTTCGAGGGTTCGCGCAACGTGCCGGCGGTGCGGATGGTTCACGACATCGGCCCCGAAAACGTCGTCGCGCTGGCGCGCCGGCTGGGGATCCGCGGGGAACTCCTCCCGGTGCTCTCAATCACCCTCGGCTCGAGCGGCGTCACTCTCCTGGAGATGGTTTCCGCGTACAGCGCGTTTCCCAACCAGGGCGTCCGGATGGATCCGTTCTTCGTCGCGCGAATCACGGACCGCGACGGGCGGGAATTGGAGCGCTTCTATCCGGAGACCGCGTCGGTCATTCCCGCGGATCTTGCGTACGTCATCACCCACCTGCTCGAGGGGGTGGTGGCGCGCGGCACCGCCGCAGGAGCACGCCGGCTCGGCCGGCCGGTCGCCGGCAAGACCGGCACCACGAACGAGTTCACGGATGCCTGGTTCATCGGCTTCGACCCCGAGATCGCCGCGGCTGTCTGGATCGGCAACGACGGAAACGAGACGCTGGGAGAACGCGAAAGCGGCGCTCGGGTGGCGCTGCCTGCCTGGGTCCGTTTCATGGAAACCGGGCGCCCCGACCCTCCACGGCACGGCTTCCGGGCGCCACCCACGGTGGCGCTCGTTGCGGTGGATCTCGAAAGCGGACAGCCGTCCGAGGGGGGGCCCAACACGATCATGGAAGCCTTCCTTCCGGGTACGGAACCCGTCGCTGGCTACGATCGCTAGCAGATTGGGCCACCGGCCCGGGCCGGCCCCGGCCGGACCCACGCACAACCACTTCCCCTCTCCTATGCTTCCGGGCGTGGGCGACTATTTTTGGGACGCCCTTTTTCAACTCCGATCCAACACTCAATGAAGAAAAAACTCGTTCTCCTCGGCTGCGGCGGCGTGCTCGCCGCACTCTTGCTCGGGGCCGTCGTCCTCTTCTTTGCATTTCGCTCGACATACAACGGTCTGGTCACGCTCGACGAGGGGGTGAAAGCCGGGTGGTCGCAGGTGGAAAACGTGTACCAACGGCGCGCCGACCTCGTGCCGAACCTGGTGGCCACGGTCCAGGGCGCGGCCGATTTCGAGCGAGAAACGCTCGAAGCCGTCATTGCGGCCAGGTCCCGAGCCACCAGCATCCAGGTTTCGGCAAACGACCTCCAAAACCCCCAGGCCCTCGCCCGTTTCGAGGCGGCGCAGGGGGCACTCTCGGGTGCGCTCTCCCGCCTCATGGTCGTCGTCGAGCGCTATCCGGACATCAAGGCCAACCAGAACTTCCTGAGCCTGCAGGATGAGTTGGCGGGGACCGAGAACCGGATCGCCGTCGAACGCCGGCGTTTCAACGAATCCGCCCAGGCATACAACACGCGGCGGCGCGGTTTCTTCACCCGGATGATCGCGGATTGGTCCGGTTTTGACGAAGCCGCCTACTTCGAGGCCGACGAGGGAGCCGACACCGCACCCGAGGTGGACTTCAGCCGGTAACCGCCCGTGGAAAAAGCACCCCGCCCGGCACGCCCGCGCGAAACACCCCCAGCTTCGGAATCCGTTCGCTCGCGGGGTGGTCTTCCCACGGGTTGGTCCGACTCTCGCCACCCACTCCGAGTGCCTTTCTTCCACGCCTCCCGGTCATCCCGGTCCTCCCGGTCATTCTGGTCCTCCCGGTCATCGCCGGGTTCTGCCTCGGTGTCCCGGCGGGGGTGGCCGCCCAGGAAACGCCGCTCCCCGCGCTGACCGGCCGGGTCGTGGACGAGGCGGAGCTCCTCTCCCCGGCGGAGGAGACGCAGCTCGAAGAGTTTCTCGCCCGCCTGGAAACCGAAACCTCGGTCCAACTCGTCCTGGTCACCGTTCCACGGATCGACGGAGCAATAGAAGACTTCAGCCCCCGCCTCGCCGAGGCCTGGGGCATCGGGCAGTCCGAAACCGACAACGGCGCCCTGGTGGTCGTCTCCCGCGACGACCGCCAGGCGCGCATTGAAGTCGGCTACGGGCTGGAGTCGGTGATTCCCGACGGGCTGGCCGGGCGCATCATTCGCGACGAACTCGCCCCCCGGTTCGCGACGGGTGACTTTGCAGGCGGCTTCGCCGCAGTCTCGATGGCGGTCGCTCAGGCCGCCGCCGGCGAATACCAAGGAGCCGGCAGCGGAGCGAATCCCGGTGCCCGGCGTACCTCCCGACGCGGGATCTCAACGCTGGTCCTCGTGGGGATTCTGCTCGGGATGCAGCTCCTCGGCTACATCGGGAACGCCTTCCATCCGGCCGGGGCAGCCGCCGCCGGGGGCGGGATCGCGGCGCTGCTCGGGTTTTTGCTGATCGGCGTGGGTTCCCTGTTCTGGCTGGTGCCGCTCGGTCTGCTTTCCGGCTTCGGAGCCACGGCCTTCACGCGCGCGACCGCAGGCCGAGGCGGCGCCTGGGGCTACGGGGGAATGTCGGGGGGCAGGGGCGTCATGTTTGGCTCTGCTGGATTCCGGGGTGGTCTCGGGGGTGGTTTCGGCGGCTTCGCAGGTGGAGGCGGCGGTTTCGGCGGAGGCGGAGCCAGCGGGAGCTGGTGACGGAGAAGTAGCCCACCATGCGCGTTCCCAAACGTCTCCGCGCCCATTTGTCCGAGGAGGACCTCGACCGCATCGCCGGCGCCATTGCAGCGGCCGAGCGCGAGACGTCGGGCGAGTTACGGGTTCACGTCGTCCCGCGGCTGCTGCCGCTCGAGAACGCCCGCCGGCGCGCCATCCGCGAGTTCTTCCGGCTGGGGGTGGACCGCACGAAGGACGGTTCCGGCGTCCTGCTGTTCCTGGCGGTTCGATCCGGCCGGTTCGAAATCGTGGCCGACCGGGCGATCAACGAGCAAGTCGGCGAAGAGGCCTGGAACGAGATCGCAGTTGAAATCACGAGCCACATCCGCGAACACGGCATTGGAGACGGCCTCGAACACGGAGTCCATCGCATCGGAGGCTTTCTGGCGCGGCACTTTCCGATCCAACCCGACGATGTGAACGAGCTTCCCGACGAAGTAACGTTCGGTTGATTACAATCTGACATAACCCTACTCATATTTAAATGATAATGCCGCCTGATTTAGTCGCCGTGTTATCAATGACTTGGTTCGATCTTGATAACGTATCACGCAACAATGAGTGCTACGTGTTAGGATCATGGGGCGTTCCGGTGGACACCGGAACGTACTCTCCGGGTTTCGGCTCCGGCCGGATACCGAACGCATTCGAGGGAGGCAAGCTCCGATGTCCGATCCGGTGAAAGGCTCCGTAACCGACGCAGGTTCGCCACAGGGCCAAGTGCACCGTATGGTGCCCGTGCTGCCGCTCCGGGACATCGTGGTGTTCCCGCACTCCTTCCTGCCGCTCTCCGTCGGCCGCAAGAGCACGGTCCAGATGCTGCGGGACGCCACCCGCGAGGCTGCCGAAGCCGACCCGTCCGGAAGCGGCAAGGTGATGCTCGCCGTCCTCACCCAAAAGGACGATTCGGTGGACAATCCGGGCGAGGACGACCTCTACCGCGTGGGTACCGCCGCCCGCCTCGAAAAGCAGGTGCGGATGCGGGAAGGCACCGTGCGGATCGTGATCCGAGGCAGCTTCCGGTTCCGTGTCGAACGGATCGTGCAGACCGAGCCCTACGTGCGCGCCGACATCCGGGTTCTGGATGGCACGGTGGGAGCCAACAAGACCGTGGAGTTCGAAGCTCTGACCCGGAAGATCCGCGAGGAACTGCAGGAGATGATCAAGACGGATCTCTTCCCTCGCGCCCGGGAGGTCATGAAGACCCAACTCGCCCGCGTGGGAAGCGCCGGTCAGTTGGCTGATTTCGTCGCCGAACAGCTTCCGAGCCTCAACACCGAGATGCGGCAGGAGATCCTTCAGACCCTGTCCATCGAGGACCGGCTGGGGCTGGCGTACGCGGCGATTCTGCGCGAGAAGCAGGTGCGCGATCTCGGGCGCAGCATCGAGTCCAAGGTCAAGAGCGAAGTCGGCCGCACCCAGCGGGAGTTCTTCCTCCGCGAGCAGATGAAGGCGATCCAGAAGGAACTCGGCGAAGGCGACGATTCCACCAAGGAGATGGACGAGCTCCGCGAGAAGATCGAGAAAGCCGGGATGCCCGAGGAGGCCGAGAAGGAAGCGCTACGGGAATTCCGGCGCCTTGGGCGGATTCCTCCCGCTTCCGCCGAGTACACCGTGGGGCGGACGTACCTCGACTGGCTGGTCCGGGTTCCGTGGGACAAGCGGACCGAGGACAAGTACGACATTCCACGCGCCAAGGACATCCTGGAAGCGGATCACTACGACCTCGAGAAGGTCAAGGACCGAATCCTCGAGTTTCTGGCGGTTCGGGAGCGAAAGCCGGACCAGAAGGGGCCCATCCTCTGCTTTGCGGGACCGCCGGGCGTGGGCAAGACGAGCCTGGGCAGGTCGATCGCGAAGGCGGTCGGGCGGGAGTTTGTGCGGCTCAGTCTCGGAGGCATCCGCGATGAGGCCGAGATTCGCGGACATCGACGCACCTACATCGGGGCGCTGCCCGGGCAGATCGTTCAAGGCCTCGTGCGGGCGGGCACCCGAAACCCCGTCTTCATGCTGGACGAGGTAGACAAGCTGGGCATGGACTTCCGGGGCGACCCCAGTTCGGCCCTGCTCGAGGTTCTGGATCCCGAACAAAACGACACCTTCCGCGACCACTACCTGGATCTGGCGTTCGATCTGTCGGATGTTCTCTTCATCGCGACCGCGAACATGATGGATCCGGTTCCGCCGGCGCTCAGGGACCGGATGGAAATCCTCGGCCTCCAGGGGTACACCGAGGAAGAGAAGATCCAGATCGCGGTCCGCCACATCCTTCCGCGCCAGCTCGAAAACCACGGACTCGAGGAAGAAGAGGACCAGCCGGTCTTCGGCCGGGAATCTCTTGCGCTCATCATCCGGGATTACACGCGCGAGGCAGGTCTCCGGAACATGGAGCGGTCGATCGCGAAGATCTGCCGCAAGGCGGTTCGGAAGCTCGCCGAGGGAGAAGCGGGGCCGCTCCAGGTCTCTCCGGAGGTCGTGAGCGAGCTGCTCGGTGCGCCCACCTCGCTCTCGCGAGAACTCGTGGAGCGGGTCAGCGTGCCGGGGGTGGCCGTTGGGCTCGCCTGGACGCCGGTGGGAGGAGATATCCTCTTCGCCGAAGCGTCCCGCATGAAGGGAAACACGCGCCTGACCCTCACCGGCCAGCTCGGCGACGTGATGAAGGAGTCGGCTACCGCCGCGCTTTCCTGGGTCAGGCAACACGGCGCAACCTACGGGATCCAGACCGGGTTCTACCGGAAGTCGGACATCCACTTCCATGTGCCGGAAGGCTCCACCCCGAAAGACGGCCCCTCCGCGGGGATCACGCTGGTCGCGGCGCTCATCTCGGTCCTGACCGGAACGGTGTGCCGGCCCGAGCTCGCGATGACCGGTGAAATCACCCTCACCGGCCACGTCCTCCCGGTCGGAGGGATCAAGGAAAAACTACTGGCCGCCCACCGCTACGGAATCCGGGAAGTCATTCTGCCCCGGTTGAACGAGGGGTCCTTTCTCGAGGATGTGCCGGATGAAATCCGGGATGCGCTTCAGATCCACCTGGTTTCGAACCTGGAGGAGACCATCCCGATCATCTTCCCGAACCTCGCCCCTGCCCCGACGATCCCTGGCCCCTCGATCGCCGCCGGGACGACACCCGACCAGATGCTGATGCAGTAACGCCTCCTCCCGGCGACAACGTCCGTTCGCCGGACCCATCTCCGTTGAAGTACCGCGACTACTACGCCGTTTGGGAGTTGGGAAACAGGCCGACGAGTCCCAAATCAAACAGGCCTACCGGCGACTCGCGCGAAAACACCATCCCGACCTGAATCCCGGTGACCGCGAGGCCTCCGAGCGCTTCAAGGAAATCGGTGAGGCCTATGCGGTGCTCTCCGATCCGGACCGGCGGCGGCGGTACGACCAGTTGGGACCTGACTGGGCCCAGCAGGGGCGAAACGCCCGGGCCCGGGCAGCGGGAACTGCGGGCGGACCGCGGCCCGGTCCGGCCGGACTTGACGACTTCTCGAGCTTTTTTGTCCATCTCTTCGGCCCGGATTCCCCCTTCGGCCCGATCGACGGCAGAGCGCGCCGGTCTCCGGGTTGGCCGCCTGCTTCCCGGTATCGGCCGCCGGGCCCGGCGCCCGATCCGGCCGGCCGGCCGGGGGTCGTCGAGATCAGCCTCGAGGAGGCCTACCGCGGCGCGCTCCGGCAGCTCCGCCCCGGCAGGAACGGGTCATACCGGGTCCGCATCCCGCCCGGAGTCCGGGACGGGGCGCGGCTGAGAGTCCGGACTCCCGACGGCGACTCGATACTGGTGGTTCGCGTAGCGGATCACTCACGGTTCCGGCGCGAAGGCGACAACCTCGAAGTCGAAATCCCGGTTCGTTTTGCCGAAGCCGCGCTCGGTGGAGAAATCGAGGTTCCCACGCTCGGCGAACCGGTGCGGATTCGCATTCCAGCCGGAGTGTCCGGCGGTGGCGCACTGCGGGTTCCCGGCCGGGGAATGCCTCGCACCGGCGGCGGACACGGCGATCTGGTGGTCCGCGTCCAGATCGCGGTCCCCAAGGATCTGACACCGGAACAGAAGGACTTCGTCCGGCGCTTCGGAGCCAGCGAGGACTCCTCAGGAGAATGATTCGCCCTGGCGCCGGGGCTAACAGCCGGTGGTGAAACCCACGTGAGCGCCGAGGTCGGCCAGTTCTCCCGGTGGGGGCGAGGCGCCCGTCCGACGAGGCGCGTGAGGGAGGAGCCCCCACCGGGAGAACTGGCCCGGGTGTATTTCGACCGAAACGCAACGAAGAACGCCAGTTCTCCCGGTGGGGGGGCGAAGCGGAGTGGTTCGGGCGGGATGCATCGCCGGCCGAGCCCCCACCGGGAGAACTGGGCCGCGTGGTTTGGCCACAGGCTGTTAAAGCCTTCCTCTCAGGATCCTGGGCGACCCACCCGTCAGATCGACGATGACGGAGGGTTCCCCGCCCGGGGTCCGTCCTCCATCCAGGATCCGGAGGTTCTGCGCGTTCCGGCCCGCAAACGCCTCCCGGACCTCGGAGGCAGTAGTCGCCGGCGGCCGGCCGCTCGGATTGGCGCTCGTCGAAACCACCGGATGGCCGAGGGCTTCAGCCAGCGCCCGCGCCAGCGGATGCGAGCTCACCCGGACCGCCACCCCTTCCCCACCAGGGCTACGGAGCGGCAGTACCAGGGTGACGGGACCGGGCCAGTAGCGATCCGCGAAGGCGGCCGCCGCTTCGGACAACTGGCAGACGCCTTCTACCTGCGCTCGGCTCGCGGCGATCCAGGGTAGCCGGCGGTCTCCCGGGCGACCCTTGAGGCGGAATACCTCGGACACCGCTGCAGCGGAGCGTGGATCGGCGCCCAGTGCATAGAAGGTTTCGGTGGGGAAGGCCACCACGGCGCCGGAGCGCAGATCCGCGGCCATCCGGTCGACCGCCTTCGCCTCCTCTTCCGACAAACGCCCCACCGGGAACTGCCTCTTTCCGCCAGCGTCGAAGCGCATCGGAAAGAGGACTAGGAATCGCCGCGCCGGGCGCGCGGATGGTGCTCGTCGTACACCCGCCGCAGGCGCTCCTCGGTGACGTGGGTGTAGATCTGGGTGGTGGTGATCGAGGCGTGGCCAAGCATCTGTTGCAGGCTCCGCAGGTCGGCCCCGCGCTCGAGCAGATGCGTCGCAAACGAGTGGCGCAGCACGTGAGGTGAGAAGCGGCGCGGGATCCCCGCCTGTTCGCCGCGAGTCCTGACGATCTGCCAGAACCGCTGACGGGTCATCGGCCCGCCGCGGGCCGTCACGAAGAGCCAGGGCGACCCGGTCTCCCGACCCCGCTTCCCCAGCACGCGGGGCCGCCCCTCCCGTATCCACGATTCCAGGCTCGCGGCGGCGACGTCTCCGTAGGGAACGATGCGCGCCTTGTCCCCTTTGCCGATCACCGTGACGTAGCCCGGCCCCTCGCCGCGCGCGGAAACCGCATCGTTTCACCCGTAGGCCTACGAGTTCCGACACCCGAAGACCGGTCGCGTAGAGCATCTCGAGCATGCCCGGTCGCGCAGACCCCAGCGGGGAGTCATCGGGCGCAGCGAGCAGTCGCTCCACTTCGTCGGGTGACAGATAGCGGGGGAGCCCCGGAAGAGCCCGCGCCACGGTAATTCCCTCGGTGGGATCCTTCTCGATGGCTCCGCCGGCCATCAGGAACCCGTACGCGCCGCGGATCGCGGAGGTGATCCGCTGTATTGACCGGAAGGAGAGGCCGCGGCGGTGCAGATGGGTGAGAAAGCGTTGCAGGTCCCTGGTGTCGAATTCGGCAAGCGCCCGGCCGGCGCCGAACTCGTTCAGCTTCCCGAGATCGCGGCGGTAAGCGTCGAGCGTGTTTTCCGAAAGCCGGCGCTCCACCCGGAGGTGGTTCAGAAACTCCTCCGCCTGCGGATCCCCCGCCGCCGGCGAAGCCCGATTCCGTGCGGATCGTTCTTCCGCGCCCGTTTGCGCCGGACGCAGTTTTCCCGCCCCGGAAATCACGGATGGCTTCCCCCACGCCCTCCGCCGCCGAAACCGAACCGTTCGCCGAGCGCCCGGAGCGCGTCCCGGATCGGTTCCCATTCCCGCGGCGCGAAAAGCCGTATGGAGAACCAGAAGACGAGGCCTCCGGCAGCGGTGGCGAGCAGCGTCGTGGCGGCATCGCCCCAACCGCCGCTTCCGAAACGGCCGCCGGCAAACCGCGCGAGCAGCCATGCGGTGCCGCCAGTGGCGGCCGCGACCGGCAGGGCGCGAAGGCCGGCTCTCGCCACTTCCGAAAACAACGCTCTTGCCCGGGACCGGCCCGATGGATCCGCGCCGAGCCTGGGAATGAGCAGAACGGCCAGCAATCCGGCCGAGAACCAGGCCACCGAAACGGTCGCGAGCGGCAGGCCCAGATGACCGAAACCCGCGGCAACCACGAAACTCCGAGTCGCGATCCAGGTGACCACGGTGCCGACACCGGCGACCAGGAACGGCGGCCGCGTGCTTCCGAGCGCGAAGAACGCGTCGGACAGCAGTTTGGTCGCGCCAAAAGCGGGGAGGCCCAGCGCAAAGATCGAAAGCACCCGGGCGACCTGCTGGGCGTCCCCGGCGCTGAAGGCTCCGCGCTGGTAGATGACCGCGACGAACGGCGTGGCGATCCCGACGAGGCCGGCGGCGGCAACCAGCGTCAACACCAGCATGAGGCGGCCGGATTGCCCGAGTATCCGACCGAAAGCGTCTTGGTCACCGCGGCCGGCGGCGCGGGTAAGCGCCGGCAGGGTGGCGCTCGACAGGGCGACTCCGATGAGCCCGGAGGGAAGCTGTACGAGGCGGTAGGCCATCGTGAACCAGGCGAGCCAGGAGGTTCCGGCGGAAGCGAAGTGCCTCGAAATGATGACGTTGATCTGCAGCGTCCCGGCAGCGCCCGCTGCGGGCGCAAAGAGACGGCACACCCGGCGAAAGGCCGGATCGGAGACCGTGGCTCGCATTCCCCCCGTGGCCACCGGCCGATAGCCATCCCGGCGAAACCATCGCCACTGCACCAGCAGTTGGACGAGTCCTCCGACCGGCACCCCAATCGCGAGCCCCGCCATCGGGTGAAGTCCCCAGCGGGGAGCCGAAAGGAATCCCAGCGCGGCGAAGACGATGGTAGTGACGTTGAAGAACGAGGAAGCCACCGCCGGGAGGAAAAACGAGTTCCGCGCCTGCAGCCCCCCCATGAAGAGTGAGGCGACCGACGCGCAGGCGATGAACGGGAACATCACGCGGGTGAGCCAGACGGCCAACTCCCTCGGTGTTTCGAGACCGAACCGCAGGGACTCGGGAAGCGGTTCGTCGAACGCTCCCCGCGAGAACACGAAATCCACCAGTTGGGGAGCGAACACCACACCGACAACGGTGACCAGGAGGCTGACCGGCAGCAGCACCCGGAAGACCCGCCCGAAGAGCCGATGGGCGGCCTCTCTTCCTTCCCCCTGGTCCACGCCGGCGAACGTCGCAACGAACGCTTTCGAGAGAGCCCCCTCGGCGAGCATCTCCCGAAGGGTGTTCGGGAAGGTGTACGCCGCGTAGAAGGCGTCGAGCAACCGGGTCGGGAACAGGAAGGCGAGGGTTTGTTCCCGGACCAGGCCGGTGAGGCGGGAGAAAACAACCCCGAGGCTCACGGAGCCGGCGCGGCGCGCCAACTGCCGTTCGTCAACCGAGCCCGGCGCCCGCACTTCGCCCGTCTCCGGAGTACGTCGCCCGGGCTCGCCCCCGGGGTGTTTCCGCCCTCGCCCGGCATTGCGACAGCGTAGCCGAGGGGAGTGCATCTGCGTGCCGTCAGGGACAACAGTGGTGCGCGGTTTCGCTCGCATCCGGGAGGCGATGCCGGTCTGGAGGCCCGCAACCGCGAGAACTGGCCACGCGCTCCCCTTGCACCGCACTTTTTCTCCCTCGGCGGAAAGCCACGATCGGCGTCTTGCCGAGCGAACAACAACTCATGGCACGTGTCCGGGGGGAACACCACTACGCCTGAGGGAGCCATGGCCGCGACTGGGCACCGTGACGCCACTCGGCGTCCACGCCGTCCGCGGCGCCCGCCGTGCCGCCGGAGGTCGGCGTTCCCGTGCCTGCGCGCCACCTGCGCTGCCGGGGTTCACGCCGAGAGGGAGGCCATCCGGGAGATCGGGGTTCGTCCCGCCGCCCGCCTGCGGCGGGCTGTGCCGGCCCCCACCGGGAGAACTGGCCAGAGGTCGGCGTTCCCGTGCCTGCGCGCCACCTGCGCTGCCGGGGTTCACGCCGAGAGGGGGGCCATCCGGGGGGTCGGGGTCCGTCCCGTCCGCCCGCCTGCGGCGGGCTGTGCCGGCCCCCACCGGGAGAAATGCCAGAGGTCGGCGTTCCCTTGCCTGCGCGCCACCTGCGCTGCTGGGGTCCACGCCGACAGGGGGAGCCAACCGGGAGATCGGGGTCCTTCCCGTCCGCCCGCGTGCGGCGGGCTGTGCCGGCCCCCACCGGGAGAACTGGCCAGAGGTCGGCGTTCCCTTGCCTGCGCGCCACCTGCGCTGCTGGGGTCCACGCCGACAGGGGAGCCAACCGGGAGATCGGGGTCCTTCCCGTCCGCCCGCCTGCGGCGGGCTGTGCCGGCCCCCACCGGGAGAACTGGCCAGAGGTCGGCGTTCCCCTGCCTGCGCGCCACCTGCGCTGCTGGGGTTCACGCCGAGAGGGGGGCCATCCGGGAGATCGGGTGGGGCGTCCCGCCGCCCGCCCGCCGGCGGGCTGTGCCGGCCCCCACCCGGGAGAACTGGCCAGAGGTCGGCGTTCCCGTGCCTGTGCGCCACCTGCGCTGCTGGGGGCCACGCCGAGAGGGGGGCCATCCGGGAGATCGGGGTCCTTCCCGTCCGCCCGCCTGCGGCGGGCTGTGCCGCCGGAGGTCGGCGTTTCCCTGCCTCGCGCCACCTGCGCTGCCCGGGTCCACTCCGACAGGGAGCCACCGGAGATCGGGTCCTTCCCGTCCGCCCGCCTGCGGCGGGCTGTGCCGCTGGAGCTGTCCGTCCGTTCCCCTGCCTGCGCGCCACCTGCGCGAGCGGCGCCGCCTTCCAGATGACGCCAGCCAAGCGCGAAAAAACTGATGGCAGCGAACTCTGTTCGCTGCCCGCCTGACCGGGGGGAAAGTGTGAAAGGGGGGCTCGCCCCCCGTTCACAAAAAGGCAACTACAAATCGGAACTCGCCGAAGCGCACGCCAGTGCGCGAGGGAGTTTCGATTCCGGCGCGAAGCGCCGGGCGGTTCGGGAGCGGGGGCCCAATTCCTTCCCTCTCGACAACCGAAACCGGTCCAGCGGTGTGCCCCCGCTCCTGGACCGCTCGACCCCGGGCGCGAAGCGCCGGGCGGTTCGGGAGCGGGGGCCCAATTCCTTCCCCTCTCGACAACCGAAACCGCTCCAGCGGTGTGCCCCCGCTCCTGGACCGCTCGACCCCGGGCGCGCAGCGCCGGGCGGTTCGGGAGCGGGGGCCCAATTCCTTCCCACTCGACAACCGAACCGGTCCAGCGGTGTGCCCCCGCTCTCGAACCGCTCGACCTGAAGTAGCATTCCCGGCGCATTGACCGCGCCGGAAGACACCCCACCGCCGGTTGCGAGGCGCGGCCGCCTTTTCGCTGCCTTCGTACCCGCCGCCTTGACTGTCGGCCTGCTTGCCGCCGCACCGGCCGCGGGTCAGGACCACAAGTTCCGACTCTTCGCCGGCGCCGGGCTGCAGTTCTTCGCGCGTCCGGAGTTGAGTCCGGGGAGGGGCGCAGGACTCGGGGGGGAAGCCGCCTTTCGAGCCACGGAACGCATCAGCTTCGGCGCCGGTTTCTTCTTCGGGCGTTCCAACCGGCGCTACACGGCCGCGAACGAGCCGGTCGAAGACGTGATCGCCGAACCGGCGTACCAGTTTCGGACGAATCGGTACCATCTCGACGGATCCATCGTCTACCACCTCGGCCGGCGCCAGCCGTTCCAGATGTACGTCGTCGCCGGAGGCGGCATCGTGAAACGCGACGAACTCCGAGAGGACCTCATCTACGAAACCGCCGACCCCGGAGAAACCCAGCCGGGAGCCGTGGGGATCCGGATCCCGGTCGGCAACGAAATCACGTTGGAGCACACCGCGTACGCCCCGACCGCCCACCTCGCAGTCGGTTTCGAGGTGTACGTCTTCTCCTACCTGTCGGCGCGCGCGGAATACCGCATCTGGTCCTCGAAGGATTTTTCCTTCCGCACACAGCAGGCCATGATCGGGGTCAACTACTACAAGTAAGCGCCCGGTTCCGGGACTCCTGACTTGGCCTGAATGTCGGATCGGCGGCGCCCAGTCTTCCCGGTGGTCCTCCCGGTGGGGGCCCGACCGGTGGTCGTAGCCACCGTCCTGCTGTTCGGCTTCTGGGTTGCGCTCTCGGGAAAACTGGACGCCTTCCACCTCTCGCTCGGCCTGATCACCGCCGTCGCGGTCGCGCTCGCGACCGCCAGGCTCTACCAGGTGCCTCCCCAGCCGATGCCACCGGACGAATTCGGGCGCGCTCCGCTCCGGTGGCGCCTTTTCCTCGGCTATTGGATGTGGTTGGTCGTGCAGATCTTCCGGTCGGCGATCGAGGTTTCGAAACTGGTGCTGAATCCCCGGCTCCCCATCGCGCCCCGGGTGGTGCGGATCGCGGATGACCTGCCCCATCCCATTGCCCGCCTTACCCTCGCTCACTCCATCACGCTGACTCCCGGCACCGTGACCATCGATTGCGACGACGACGGGATGGAGATCCACGCCCTCGACCCGGAGGCCGCGAGCAGCCTGGGTACCGACGGCGGACCGATGGCGGCAAGGGTGCGGGCGCTCTTCGGCCCTCCGGCGCGCTGATGCCCGTTTTGCTGACCGCTTTCGCGGGCGCCATTTTTGTGGCGATCGGCGGATCGCTCTTCCGGGTCGTTCGCGGCCCGACACTCTGGGACCGGCTTTCCGGTGTGGCCCTGATCGGGACCAAGACCCTGATCCTGCTGGTGGTCGCGGGCGAGCTTTCCGGGAAGCCCGAGATGTTCACGGACATCGCCCTCGCCTACGCGATGATCGGGTTCCTCGGCGCTCTCGTCCTCGCGAAGTACTTCGAAGGAACCAGCAGCCCGTGATCTCCTGGGTCAACTTCACCGACGCGCTCGCGGTCCTCCTGCTCGCGGCCGGGCTCTTCTTTACCCTGGCGGCCGTCGTCGGGATCCTCCGCCTTCCCGACTTCTTCACTCGTCTGCACGCCATCGGGAAATGCGACACCGCCGGACTCTCGCTCAGCCTCCTGGGGCTCGCCCTGCTGGCGCGGGATCCCGCGGTGACCGTCAAGCTGGCGCTCGTCCTGATCCTGGTAGCGGTGGCCAACCCGACGGCAACGCACGCCCTGGCCCGGGCGGCCAGGAGGAGCGGCGTTCCCGTGTGGCGCGCGGATGAAGCGGGAGATCCGCCCGGAGAGCGATGATGGCTGAGGGACACCTGATCAGCGTCGGACTGCTCGCGGTGATGCTGCTCTCGGGGGCCACTGCCCTCGCCGTGAGAGACCTGCTGGCGGCCGCGGCGCTCTTCGGCGTCTTCAGTTTTTCGGCCGCCACCTGGTTCGCGCTCATGGGCGCCGTGGACGTCGCGTTCACCGAAGCCTGCGTCGGTGGGGCGCTGACCACCATCTTGTTCGTCTCGACCGCGTTCCGCACGAGCCGGAGGTTCGATTGATCGACGGGTCCACGCCCGCCGCGGCCCCGGGCAATCAGTGGGGCGGATCGGCTCGCATCCGGCTGCTGTTCGGCGCCGTCGCATTCCCGGCGCTCTTTGTCGGCCTCGTCCTGGCCATGGCGGAGATCCCGCGGTTCGGGGATCCCGCCTCTCCCGCCGCAACCCACGTCTCTCCCCGTTTCATCGAGAAAGCGGCCGAGGAGACGGGGGCCGCCAACATGGTCACGGCGGTGCTGGCGGACTACCGCGGCTATGACACCCTCGGAGAGACCGCGGTGATCTTCGCGGCCGGCCTGGGCTGCCTGGTGATCCTCGCCGGGGCCGCCCGGGACCGCGCCGATCTTCCCGGGCCCGGGATGTCGCATCCGTTCGGGAGCGTCCTGCTGGACGCGGCCGCCAGAATCCTGGTCCCGGCCGTCCTGGTATTTGCCGTCTATGTGCTCGTTCATGGCCATATCAGCCCTGGGGGCGGCTTTCAGGGCGGCGTACTGTTCGGCTCCGGACTCGTCATGATGCGGCTCGTCTGGGGACCCCCGAACGCCTCCCGAAGTGAGGCCCCGGGAGTTCCCGCGTTCGGTCCCGGCCTGCGAGGCGCCCTGATCCTGGCGTGCGCCGGGATCCTCGGGTACGTCGGGATCGGCCTCGCGGCGATGGCGTTCGGGGGTTCCTTCCTGGATTACGGAACCCTCCCCCTCGGCGGCGACCCCGCGCACGTGCGGGAACTCGCCACTCTCGGGGTCGAAGCCGCCGTCTTCCTCACCGTCGCCGGCACGGTCGCCATCCTGTTCGACACGATCAGCATCGGGATGCGGGAAGATGGAATCGGGGTCCCACCCGGCCGGAGGCCGGCGGAATGACCGCGCCCAAACCGCAGCCGCGCTCGCGGGACCGCCTCGCGGCCCGGCCTTCCGGTAAGTAATGAAGCGGACAGCCCGATGATGACCTACGCCTTTGCGGCCGCGCTCTTCACCATCGGACTTGGCGGCATGGCGCTGCTGCCGAACCTGCTCCGGAAACTGCTCGCGATGAACGTGATGCAGGTCGCGGTCATCGTCTTCTTCGTCTCCCTCGCCTACAAGGACGGAGCGACGGTGCCGATCTTCGACGGCGCCGGCAGTCCGGCGGCCGCCGACTTCATGAACCCGCTGCCCCACACGTTGATGCTCACCGCCATCGTGGTTTCGGTTTCGACCACCGGCCTGGCGCTCGGCCTGCTCGTACGAATTCGGCGGCGGTTCCGCACTCTCGACGAACATCGCCTGCTCCAGAAGCTTCGCTAACGGATCTGGAACCGGTGCGAGACATTCTTCCGGGCCTGTTGGTCGCGCTCCCGCTGACCGGAGCGGCTCTCGTCCCCCTGGTTGCGGTCCTGCTCGGGCGCGGCACCCGGGGGTTGGCTCTCGGCATGCATGCGGCAATCTTCGGGGCGGCCCTGGGGCTCTTCTGGTCCGTGGCCGCTGGCGGACCGATTCGCTACGCGGTGGGAGGCTGGCCCGGCCCCTGGGGCATCGAGCTGTGGTTTGACGGCCTGAGCACGCTGATCGCGGCGCTGGTTGCGGGAATGGCCTGCTTCGCCGCGTTCGCGCAGACCTTCGGCGCCGATCAGGAGGGGACTACACCCACGGCGACTCCACTTCGGGAGGGTCTGTTGCGGGGGGCCATGCTGCTGCTGCTCGGGGGCCTGCTCGGCATCGTCGTCACCCGGGACGTTTTCAACCTTTTCGTCTTTCTGGAGATTTCTTCACTCGCCGCCTACACGCTGGTCGCCTCCGGCGGAGGCCGAGCCACGGTAGCCGCCTTCCGGTACCTGCTCGCCGGCACCGCCGCCGGTTCGCTCTATCTGTTCGGGGTCGGCTTCCTCTACGCGCTGACCGGAACCCTGAACATGGACGACCTCGCGGCGCGGCTCCCCTCGGTGGAAGCGGACGCCGCCCTCACCGTGGCGGTGGTCCTGATCGCCGTCGGCCTCTCCATCAAGGCTGCCCTGTTCCCGCTCCACGGCTGGCTGCCCGACACCTACGTCTACTCGCCGACGCCCGCGGCGGGGTTCATCGCCGCGGTCATGGCCAAGGTGAGCGCCTACGCGCTCCTCCGCCTGCTCGGTGAAGTCCTCGCCGGAACCGCCGCGGGGGCGGTGGTGCTCAGCGTCCTCGTCTGGCTCGGAGTTCTCGGAGTCCTGGTCGGCGGGATCCTCGCCGTCGCCCAACGTTCCGTCACCCGCATGCTGGCCTGGTCCAGCATCTCCGCGATGGGAATGATCCTGATCGGAGTGGGGATGGGATCCACCCTCGCCATCACCGGCGCCCTTTTCCACATAACGGCCCACGCATTGGCCAAGGGATGCCTCTTCTTCGGCGCCGGCGGGATCCGCACGCGGTGCGGAGGGGACGGCATCGACCGGTGGGCGGGGCTCGGCGCCCGCGCTCCCTGGACGGTGGCGGCTCTCACGGTGGCCGCGCTTTCCATGATCGGCATTCCGCCGACTGCCGGATTCTTCTCGAAGTACTACCTGCTCGCGGCGTCGGTTGGACAGGGAGGACCCGCGGGAGTGGCGGCCTTTACCGCCATCATCATTTCCAGCCTGCTGGCGACCATCTACTTCCTGCGCGTTTTGGAGGCCGCGTGGTTCCGGGCGCCCGCGGATGCGCCTGACTCCGTTTCCTCCGGCGAACCCCCCGCCGGCGGGAAGCCCCCCACTGGCCGAAAGCCCCCCGCTGGCCGGGAGCCCCCCGCCGGCCGGAAGCCCCCCGCTCTCCTCCCCCGGTCGCTGTCTTTACCCGTGATCGGGCTCGCCGTCCTGGTCCTGCTCACCGGGGTCTTCGCGCGCCCCTTCGAGCGCCACGTTCTCCCCGACTGGCACTCCGACACCGCGCGCGCTTCCGCCGTTAACCGTGACTGAGATCGTCTCCCTTCGCCCGCTCCTGGCGGTCGGTGCGGGACTGGCCGCCGTATTGCCGATTCTCCTCAGCGGGCGGCGCCCCGCGCTCCGCGAGGCGTGGACCTTCCTGGCGGGGGCCGTCCAGCTCGGCGCCGCGCTTTCGATGCTCCCCGCCGCCTTCGGGGGCGCTGCCCACCTGAGCCCGGCCCTGCCCCTGTTGCCGGGAATGCCGCTGCAGTTCCGCGCGGACCCGTTGGGCCTCATTTTCCTGACGCTTTCCTCGATCCTCTGGCTCGCCACTTCGAGCTATTCGGTGGGATACCTCCGAACGCTCGGCCTCAAACACCAGACGGGGTACTTCGCTGCCTTCGCTGCCGCCGTGGCGGCGGCCGCGGGCGTCGCGCTCGCCGCCAACCTGGTGACCTTCCTGATCTGCTACGAGGTGCTCACCCTCGCGACCTGGCCCCTGGTGGTCCACAAGCGGACCTCCGGAGTGCTCGGTTCGGGACGGTCCTACCTCGCCTACACGCTGATCGCGGGTCAACTGCTGCTGGGCGCCGTCGTCTGGGCGGGGACGCTGGCCCCCGGCGCCCAGTTCACCCCGGGCGGCTTCCTCGCGGGAACCGCCACCGACGGCGTCCTGCGCCTCCTGTTCGTGCTCCTCCTGGTGGGCGTCGGCGCGAAGGCTGCGGTGTTTCCGCTCCATGGCTGGCTGCCGGCCGCGATGGTGGCGCCCACTCCCGTGAGCGCTCTGCTCCACGCGGTCGCGGTGGTGAAGGCAGGGGCGTTCGGAGTGCTGCGGCTGACGGGATGGGTTTTCGGTCCCGAGCTGATGCACGACCTGGGGCTCAGCCTGCCGCTGGCCCTGCTCGCCGGCGGCACGATCCTCTTCGCCTCGCTACGCGCCCTCGGCGAGGACCACCTCAAGCGCCGACTCGCCTACTCGACCATCGGCCAGCTCAGCTACATCGTTCTCGGGGGCGCGATCGGAACGCCGCTCGCGCTTGCGGGAGCCGCGTTCCACATCGTCGCCCACGGGTTCTTGAAGATCACTCTCTTCTTCTGTGCGGGTTCGATCTATGCCGCCACCGGCAGAGAACACATCTCCCAGTTGTCCGGGCTGGGCCGCAAGATGCCGCTGACGTTCGCCGCGTTCGGGATCGGCGCGCTCGGCATGGCGGGAGTGCCCCTGCTTCCGGGATTCATCAGCAAGTGGAACGTCGCCCAGGGCGCCCTTTCCGGCGACCAGGTCTGGGTGGTGGTGCTGCTCGTCGTCAGCGGCCTGCTGAACCTCTCCTACTACCTGCCCATTCTCCGGATCGCGGTCTTCGAACCCGGCGATGACCGGCCCGTCCGGGAACCGTCGGCATGGCTCGTGGCGCCGCCGATCCTCGCTGCGCTGGCGGCCATCGTGCTCGGGCTGGCTCCCGACGCCGGCGCCCGCTTCTGGTTCCTCGCCACCTCCGCCGCACAGAGTGTCGCCACCGGCGCTCCCGAGTTCCTCACGGGGCTCGGAGGTGCGCCATGATCAGGGGGAAGCCGATCGGGATGGCGACGCTCGCCGTCTCCCTGACGGCTCTCGTCGGCCTTGATTTTCTTGATTTTCTCGGATTCCTCTCCGGGGCGGAACATCACGGGGGTTTCTGGAACAGTCTGCCGCTCGGCGATCTGGTTCTCGGAACGCTCGCCGCCGGAATGCTCGTCTGGTTCTCCCGCCGGATCCTGAAGCGGTTCCTCACCCGTCCCGAGAGCTATTACGACGGAGGCCGCGGGCCGTGAGCGCGCTGCTGCTGCTGCATCCCGCCTTCTGGCTGTTCCTCGGGGTGTTGTTCGTATTGGTCAACCGGCGGAGCATCCCCAGAGTACCGGTGGGCGTCATCGTCGCGATCGGGGCGCTGCTGGCCCTCCTTCGCGGGGTGGAAGGCACTCTGGAGACGAACGTCGCCGGATTCCGGATCATCTGGTTCCACGCGGACAAGCTGAGCCTCCTCTTCTCGCTGGTCTTCGCGATCGTGGCCCTGCTGGGGTTTCTCTACGGATCCCACCGGATGGGCGCCGGCGAAACGGCGGCGGCGATGCTCTACGCCGGTTCCGCGATCGCCACCGTGCTGGCGGGGGACTGGATCACCTTCTTCGTCTTCTGGGAGGCGATGGCCTTCTCGTCCCTGGCGCTGATCTGGCAGGCGGGGACGGGCCGCGCCCGGCGGGCGGGGATGCGGTACCTGCTCGTCCACGCTACCGGCGGAGCCCTGTTGTTTGTCGGGATCGCCCTCCATCTGGCCGGCGGGGGGGACGCATCGCTTGGTGCGCTGGTTTCCGGCTCGCCACCGTTTTGGCTGATCCTGGGCGCGGTCGCAATCAACGCCGCGATCCCGCCCCTCCACGCCTGGCTGACCGACGCCTATCCGGAGGCCTCTACTTCGGCCTCCGTATTCCTGTCGGCCTTCACCACCAAGACCGCGGTCTACGCGCTGCTGCGCCTTTTCCCCGGAACCGAGATCCTGGTGCCGCTGGGTGTCGCGATGGCGCTCTACGGCGTCGTCTTCGCGATCATCGAGAACGACATCCGCCGGCTGCTCGGCTACCACATCGTGAGTCAGGTCGGTTACATGGTGGCGGCGGTGGGAATCGGCACCCCGCTCGCGCTCAACGGCGCCGCCTCGCATGCCTTTTCCCACATCCTCTACAAGGCGCTGCTGTTCATGGGCGCGGGGGCGGCCATCGAGGCCACCGGTTTGCGCCGCCTTTCCGATCTGGGCGGAATCTTTCGCGGGATGCGTTTCGCGGTCGTGATGTACGGCATCGGGGCGCTCTCGATCTCCGGCGCTCCGCTCTTCAACGGCTTCATCAGCAAGTCCATGATCGTCAGCGCGGCCGGCGAAGAACACCTGCTGTGGACCGAACTCCTGCTCACGGTCGCCGCCGTCGGGACATTCCTTTCCGTCGGGTTGAAACTCCCGTGGTTCGCGTTCTTCGGCGAACGGCGGGGAGTCGGTGTCCGACCCCTGCCGACGAACCTGCTGGCGGCCATGGGAATCGCCGGCGGCCTCTGCGTGCTCTACGGGGTGTTCCCGGATCTCCTGTACAGCCGCCTCCCGTTCGCCGCTTCCTACGTTCCCTACACGCTCGACCACGTCATTTCGACAGGACAACTCCTCGCGGCCACCGGCTTCGTCTTCTTTCTGGCCCGGCGCCGCCTCGCCCCGTCTCCCACTATCGCTCTCGATACCGATTGGTTCTACCGGAAACTCCTCGGCCGGGGAGTCATGGCCACTACCCGGATTCTCGGGAGCATCGGACCCGTCGTCCGCACGCTCAGAGGCGGCGCGGTCGCGCGGCTCGACGGGGCCGTTCGCGCTGTGGCGACCCAGGGGGCCACCCCCCGCCGGGCGGACGGGTTCAGCTTCCGGGCATCCATAAGCTGGACCGTGCTGTTCGCCGCTGCCGGCGCCGTGGCCATCTGGATTCTGGTGTGGCTGCGGAACCTCCAGTAAGACTCGGGCGTATACAAGTGGGAGTGTTTCCCAAACCCTCGGGCCGAGGGTCGACGGCCGGCCGGCCGGCATCCCTGCCGGCATCCCTGCGGCGCTAAGGTTTCCTCATGCGGCCGGCACGGTGGCTCTGGCCAGCCCTTCTGGGGATCGCGGCAGTCCTCCTGATCCTGCGGCCGTGGGCCGAGGAAACACCGGCTCCAGCCGAGGTGGACGATCCGCTCACCGAAGCCGAAGCGCTTTACGAAGAGGCGATCGACGATCTGGAATCGGCGCTCCGCTCCACGGACTCCGAGGGGTTCGGAGACCTGCACGCGGCCATGGAGCAGGAGCGGCAGGCGCTGGACGCCGCCATCGCCGACAGTCGCCGGCGCGCGGCCGCCGCACCCGACGATGAAGAAGCCCAGGAGACCCTGTTTGAAAGTCTGCGCCGGAAGCTGGATCTGTTCCACAACACCCTGATGCTCATGCGGGACATGGAACGAGGTGACAGCGCAACGGCCCAGGATCGGATTGACGCCATTTCGGGACGGGGACGCCCCGACACCGACTGACCGCCCGTGGAAAAAGCACCCCGCACCGCCCCCGGGACGAGAGACACGCCGTACGTGCCGGTCTTTCCACTTTCCCCACGGGGTGATGTCGCGCATCGCTGCGCGCCAGTTCTCCCGGTGGGGGCCCGCGCCATTGTCTTGCGTGGGGAGGGGATACCCCTCCCCACCCCCCCTCCCCCGCGGCGCTCCGCGCCGCGGACCGACGCCGACTGACTTTTCTCCACCGCCTGCCAAGAGTGCGGAGAGTGGACCGCCTGATCCGGCAAAAGTGCCGCGCAGCAAGCTAGAGAACCAGCCAAGGAGCAACTCGTGATGATGCATTCCCCGAATCCGACGCCGCGGCGTCCGGTCGGGCAAGGATTTTCCCGGCGCGCCGCACCGGCGGCGGTGGTTTTTCTTGCCGGCTCCCAGTTGGTGGTGGCCCAGCCCCTGACGGAGAGGGTGGAACACGCGGTGGAGATTCCGCGCGACGCCCGGATTTCGATCATGAACTTCGCCGGACATGTGGAGGTGCACGGAACCGATCCAGGTGAGGACCGCACGCTCCGCGTGATCGGGATAAAGCGACTCGAAACCGAACTCCCGCCAGAGGAGGCAGCGCGCATCTTCCGCCAGGTGAACCTGGACTTGAGGCGTCGCGGACGGCGGATTCACATCGGACCCAACCGCCCGCGCGGAGAGCAGGGAGGTTCGCCCGAGTCGGACCGGTCTTCGGAAGAGCGGAGGCAGGACCCACCCATCGCCGAGGTCCGGCCGCCCAGGCGGATCCCCCCGGTGTCGGTGGATCTGGAGGTCTGGCTCCCGGATGGGGCCTCTTTGGAGGTGCGCACTTTCACGGCGCCCATCACGATTGCCGGGATCGCCACTCCAGACGGAGACTTCCTCCTGCGCAGCGTCAGCGGGCCGATCGAGATCAGGGATCTGGAAGTCCACAACCTGCGGGCGGAAACCGTAAGCGGGAGTCTGAATCTTGCGGATGTCCGGGCCCACCGTGCCAACTTCATGACCCTGACGGCGCCCATCCGAGTGAGCGGCGTTCTTCAGCTCGACGGCTGGTACGAGTTCCAGACCCACTCGGGGGCGGTCCTGCTGGGACTCGGATCCGTCCCTGGATTCACGGTCGCGGTCACCACCTATTCGGGCGAAATCCACAATGACCTTGAGTTCGAGACGGAGCGCGACAGCCGAAGGCTCGAGGGCCGGTACGGGGACGGCGGGCCGCAGATCAGCGTCAGCACCTTCGGCGGGGCCATTCACCTCGCTCCGGAGGCCCGCACCATCCGGGACGTGGAGCGTTAGTTCGAACGGCGATTGTCGCCGGGAACCCTCCTCGCTACTCGAGCAGGAAGAGAAGCACGAAGAGCCCGGCCAGGGCGTGGATCACCAAGGAGACGTCCCGGCCCTTCCCCGAGAGCAGGTGGAGAGCCGACCAGGCGATGAAGCCCGCGCCGATCCCGTTCGTGATGCTGGTGGTCAGGGGCATTCCCACCACCACGAAGAACGCCGGGATCGCCGCCAGCGGACGGTCCCAGGGCACCTTGGCGACCTCCGGCATCATGAAGATGCCGATCAGGATCAGGATGGGAGCCGCCACCGGATAGAGCGTGATCCCCTCCCCGATAGGCACCCCGCCGATCACGGACAGCAGCGGATGGAAGAACATCGAGCACAGCAGCAGACCGGCCGTCGTTAGCGCGGTGAGTCCGGTCCGGCCGCCCGCGGCAATACCGGCGGCGCTTTCGATGTAGGTGGTGATGGTGGAGGTGCCGAGCAGGCCGCCCAGCATCGTGCCGCCGGCATCGGACGCGAAGGCTGCTTCGGCTCGGGGAATCTGTCCGTCCTCCATCAACCCGGCACGGCTCGTAACGCCGAGCAGGGTCCCCATCGTGTCGAACATGTCCACGATCAGGAGCATGACCACCGCAAGGATCCAGGTGGGCGCCGCGAAGAGACCTCCGAAGTCCAGCGCAAGAAACGTCGGGAGGATCGAGGGGGGCGCCGAGACCACCCCGGTGAACTGGGTGAGCCCGAACCCCAGGCTGGCAGCGCCCGACACCCCGGCGCCGATGAGCAGCGCTCCGGGTACCCGCCGGATCACGAGGATGGCGGTGACGATGAGCCCCACCAGGGCAACTTGCACGGGGCGCGCCCCGAGGTCGCCGGGCCCGATGTAGATGTTCGGGGTGGCGACCAGCAGACCGGCCCAGCGAAGCCCGATCACCGCGATCATCAACCCGATGCCGGCCACGATCCCGTGCCGCAATGGTTCCGGGACTGCGTCCATCAGCTTCGAACGAAGCTTGAACAGCGAACTCGCCAGGAAGAGGACGCCGGCGATGAAGGTCGCGGCGAGGGCCTGCTGCCAGCTCAGCCCGAATCCACCGGTGGCGGCCGTGCCGCACAGCGTGAAAGCGAAGAAGAAGTTGAGGCCCATTCCCGGCGCGAGGGCGACCGGCAAGCGCGCGAACACTCCGGCGGACGCCGTCGCGAGCGCCGCACCGACACAGGTGGCCACCATGACCGCGCCGGTGTCCATCCCCGCCGCCCCGAGCACGATGGGATTGACCAGCACGATGTAGGCGAGGGTCACCCAGGTGGTCGCACCGGCCAACACTTCGCGCCCAAGGGTGCTGCCACGGGCCCCGATCTCGAAGAAACGATCCAGCCAACCAATCACTGCGTCGCCTCCTTCCGCCCCGGCCCCGGCCGGGCGCGCGATGGTACAATGCCGGGTCACACCGCGACTTAGCGCGGGTTCCCTGATTGCGGGTTCTTCGGAACCCGACCACTTCATTTCGAGAACATAGGGTTCGGAGACGTATGGCCCACAGCAAATCCGCGAAGAAACGCGTTCGCCAGAGTGAGGAGCAGCGCATTCGCACTCGGCACCATCGGAGCCGCCTGCGAACCGCAATCAAGAGCCTCCGCGCCGCCGTCGCCGCCGGCGACCAGGAAACCAGTCAGCAGAAGCTTCCGGAGACCATCGCCCTGCTCGATCGGATGGCGAGCCGCCGGGTCCTGCACAGGAATGCCGCGGCCCGCACCAAGTCCCGCCTCTCCCGCCTGGTAGCAAAAGCCTAGGACGAGGAGCGCCGGTCTCCAGACCGGCATCGCGCGGGAGCGCGAAACCCGCACCGACGACCCTGCGCCCGCCAATCTCACGGCCAGGAGCGCCGGTCTCTGACGGATCGCGGGGAGCGCGAAACCCGCACGAGACCCTGCGCCACGCCAATCTCACGGCCAGGAGCGCCGGTCTCTGACCGGCATCGCGCGGGAGCGCGAAACCCGCACCGACGACCCTGCGCCACGCCAATCTCACGGCCAGGAGCGCCGGTCTCTGACCGGCATCGCGCGGGAGCGCGAAACCCGCACCGACGACCCTGCGCCACGCCAATCTCACGGCCAGGAGCGCCGGTCTCTGACCGGCATCGCGCGGGAGCGCGAAACCGCACCGACGACCCTGCGCCACGCCAATCTCACGGCCAGGAGCGCCGGTCTCTGACCGGCATCGCGCGGGAGCGCGAAACCCGCACCGACGACCCTGCGCCACGCCAATCTCACGGCCAGGAGCGCCGGTCTCTGACCGGCATCGCGCGGGAGCGCGAAACCCGCACCGACGACCCTGCGCCACGCCAATCTCACGGCCAGGAGCGCCGGTCTCTGACCGGCATCGCGCGGGAGCGCGAAACCCGCACCGACGACCCTGCGCCACGCCAATCTCACGGCCAGGAGCGCCGGTCTCTGACCGGCATCGCGCGGGAGCGCGAAAACCCGCACCGACGACCCTGCGCCACGCCAATCTACACGGCCAGGAGCGCCGGTCTCTGACCGGCATCGCGCGGGAGCGCGAAACCCGCACCGACGACCCTGCGCCACGCCAATCTCACGGCCAGGAGCGCCGGTCTCTGACCGGCATCGCGCGGGAGCGCGAAACCGCACCGACGACCCTGCGCCACGCCAATCTCACGGCTGGAGCGCCGGTATCTGACCGGCATCGCGCGGGAGCGCGAAACCCGCACCGACGACCCTGCGCCACGCCAATCTCACGGCCAGGAGCGCCGGTCTCTGACCGGCATCGCGCGGGAGCGCGAAACCGCACCGACGACCCTGCGCCACGCCAATCTCACGGCCAGGAGCGCCGGTCTCTGACCGGCATCGCGCGGGAGCGCGAAACCGCACCGACGACCCTGCGCCACGCCAATCTCACGGCTGGAGCGCCGGTATCTGACCGGCATCGCGCGGGAGCGCGAAACGTGTGTCAAGCGACACCTAGTTTGGCCCAGATAAACGACACCCACTTTGTCACCCCAGGAGGGGTCAGTGGTGGGGGAGAAAGTGTCTCCAGCCTCTGCCGGCGCGGTAGCTGCAGGCGGCCGGAGTCCCGTCTCGCCGACCCGCGTGAAGCGCGGAACCGGAAACTCCGCCCCCCTCCCCCATAGGATTCCCCGCATGCGTGGAATCCCTCACCTCGGCTGCGCGACCCTTCTCCTCCTCATCTCCTGCGGCGGAGACCGTCCCGAGCGCGGAACGCTCCCACCGCTCCACTATCTCGCCACCGCCGATCAGGCCGGTCCGGTCGCGTACCGCGACCCGATCGGGGCCATTTCTCCGGACGGGAATTGGCTGGCATCGCTGGAGCGGGGCCAGATCCGTTTCGCCCCGGCCGCCGGGGGCGCCGCCCAACGGATTGGCCCGGGCACCGCGTCCATCCGCTACCTGACCTGGTTCCCCGACAGCCGCCGGGTGCTGGTTCACGAGAACGTCTTCGACCGGAGCCGCCAGGAGTGGTGGGTCTACGACCGGGCCGACGGCAGCCGGAGTCCGCTGTGGCCCGATCGCCCGGCGGACGCCGCGCCGGCAACCGGGGCGCTGGGCCAATTGAGCTGGTCCGTGGACGGCTCCGCAGTCGCCGGAGTGACCCGCGAGGACGGCATTTCGACTCTCTGGGTCCTCGGCCCCACCGGCGGGAACGCGGCGCCGCAAGCCAGCGGAGGCAATCTGTCCTTCCCGGCCTGGTCCCCCGATGGACAGATCGCGTGCCTCGTCCGCACCGGAGAGCGCCAGCACCTGCACCTGCCCTGTTCCGCGCCCGAACCGCTCTTCGACGAACAGGAAGCCTACGGACGCATCGCCTTCTCGCCGGACGGGGAGTGGGTGATCTACGGGGTCCCGGGCGAGGAGCGGCTTCCTCGACCTCTGGATGCGCCGCGTCAGCGGTGGCCGGCGCACCCGGCTCACCCGGTTCGCGCGTGACGCCTATTCCCCTTCGGCGGGCGCGGGCGGGGAGGTCGTTTTCAAGAGCCAGGACTACCGGGTCTTCCTGGCGACCGCCCCGGCGGACGGCGGGCCCTCCGAGCCGCTGACCGCGTTCCAATCGGAGACTCCCACCTGGAGTCCGGACGGCAGCGAGATCGCCTTCACCTACGGAAGCTGGCGGCACGTAACGGACGACATCCACTATCCGGACATCGCCCAGCACCTCGGCACGGTTCCGGTGAGCGTCGAGACGCCGCACCGGGAACCGCGGCGCATCGTGCGGCAGTCGTACTCCGAGGATCAGGGAATGCAGTGGTCGCCGAACGGGCGCTGGATCGTCTTCCACACCCACGAGGAATCGGACGACATCTGGCTCATGGCGGCCGACGGCAGCGGAGCCCGGCAGATCAGCGAGGACGGTCACGAAACCGGGTGGGCGCGCTGGTCCCCGGACGGCCGCTTTCGTGGTCTTCACGAGCTACACGCGGACGAAACCGGCGCCCGGCACGGTGGGCTCTACGTCATCGGCGTGGACCAGGAGACGGGCGAAGTTGCGGAGCCCCAGTACGAAGTGCCCCTCGGGGCTTTCGACCAGGACGTGATCCAGGCCGAGTGGGCGGATTCGGGGGAGACGCTGCTCTTCGAAGCCGCCGAGGCGGTGGGCCGGAAGAGCCTCTGGACGTGTCCCGCGAAGGCGGCGAGCCACCCGCTTTCACGAGTTCGGCTCCGACCAGATCCACTCCGGGATCGGTGTCTCGCCGGACGGCGCGTGGGCGGCCTACATCGACCGCGCCGAAGACGGCTTCTTCCAGGTCTTCCGGGTCCCGCTAGGTCGGCGGCGATCCGGAACAGGTCACATCGGATCCCCACCACAAGACCCAGCCCGCGTGGTCACCCCTGGGCGACCGGATCGCGTTCACCGTCTTCAGCTACCGGGCCCACTTCTGGCGGATCCACCCGTTCTCGCTCGCGCGCTGAGGGATCGGGCCAGCGGAATCACCGTCGGCCCTTTCTCACCACGAAATATCGAACTCTTGCTTCATGGCCGGCGTGCTACCCCAGGGGTCGCCAGGCAGCCGATCGATAAGCGTCATGAACACGCGGTGTCGCTGATCGCCCCATGGAACGACATTGCTCCAAGCAACGATGTCCGTGCGCCGGAATCATTCGTCGAGATCTGGTTCGCGCCGCACTATGACGCGCCAGCGGGGATCGCGCTTCTGCGGTTCCAGTTGGAAGTCGGGGTCGCTTCCCTCCTGGCGGTCGAGCTCGGTCCAGGGCAGCGATCCTCGTGACCGCAACGCCTCCAGCATCGCCCCCGTCAGGGCGTCGTGGCCGAGATGTTCCAACAGGTGTCCCTAGACGCTGGACAACCGGCCGCTGCACCAACGCCGAAAGTGCTGTGAGTTGCGTGGGATCGATCTTGAGTGCGAGGTCGGAGAGGACCGTGGCCACAGTTGTCGATGCCGCCGGACGCCTGCGGATAGCGCAGCAGATCGAGAGCCGTCAGCGCAGGCGACGAGATCTTCATCGTGCCGGTGTCCGTCTTGCGCCCCTCGACCCCTGCCATCACCGCTTCCACATCCTTACGGAAGTAGAAAACGAGCAGGCTGCGACCGGCGCGGATTGCTGGGAGGCGTTTGGCCGAGATGACCTGAAACTCCATGACTGCCTGATGCGTCGCCCCGTGGAACTCCGCGGCTTTGAGGAGTCCGACGTAGTAGGTCTGTCGCTCATGGCGCATGAGCGCGTCCAAATACCAAGCCGGTGGCGGCGCCCCCCAGGACGCGTATTGCGGTGGGACGACTACGTAGAACCCCTGTCGTGGGGTCAGCAGCGCCTCACGACGCTGCAGCCGCTCAGCGGCATCCAGGAACGCACCGCGCTCAACGCCGAGCGCCTGCTCGGCTCCTCCGCGGTGAACACCGTCCGGCCGGCAGCGAGCAGACGACTGACGTACCCTGACAGGGCAGATCGTCGATCGTGAATCATGTCCTGTTATCCGCTTATAGTGCGGATTTTACAACATGAATTGTGACTGACAACTCGAGCAGCCTGGGCCGTGAAGGCTAGTCGGAAGCTGGTTCCCGATCGGAGACCGGATCGTGTCTACGGCCTTCAGCTACCGGGGGCACTGCTGGCGGATCCATCCTTTCTCGCTACGGCGCTCACGGTTACGGGTGCGTGAGCTGACGCTGGGAAACGCGCAACCGCCGTTGCGCGCAGCGCCATGCAGGGAGTGGCCGGGGGAGTTTCGCCCCCTGGCGGGGGCGATGCCGGTCTGAAGACCGGCGCTCCTTCCTTCCTCCGTAGAATCGGCGCCATGCGCACTCACGCCCCGACCCTGACCCACCGTTTCGCGGCGGTACTACCGCTTCTGGTGCTGGCGCCGCTCGCGGCGGCCGCGCAGGGACAGACCCACACCTACATCCCGGAGCGCGGATTTCAGAGCTTCGCGGTCCGGGAGCCGGTCGTCCGGCTCGCCCCCGGCGACACGCTGATCAGCGAGACCATGAACGGGGCGTTCCTTCCCGAGGAGGAGCGGGACCGCGCGGGCGAGGTGGGACCCATCTACATCGAAGGATCGGAGCGGGGCGACACGCTGGTCATTCGCGTGGTCCGGCTGGAACTGAACCGCGACCGGGCGTATTCGGGGACCTCCGCCGGATTCGCGGCGCTCACGATGACGCCGCAGACGGCGATGCTCCACGAGCCGGTTCCCCAGCGCCGCTTCGAATGGGAACTGGACCTCGATGCGAACACCGGCACCCTCGCGCTCCCGGCGAGCGGCAAGGATCCGGTAACCGTTGAGCTTTCGCCCATGC